GTATAAACTTTTTAGGTGGAGTGTGCGCGTCATCGCTATGACTTGGTCCTTCTCATTTTTGCGCAAATTGCCGTGCTCTGCTCCCTTTAAATAGAGCCTCGTCTCGTGCGCTGCACTTCAATGCACGGAAAACATTAGGTTGCAGCTTCGACGACGGTTTCCTCTTAATCGGCCGGTTGGCAATTTCACTTTAGATGGTATGTTTTCTTTGCACCTAACATTTTACCTAACCAGACCTGTTCAACTTTTTTTCAATGTTTAGTTTATAAAGAATTTAGACTTATTAAGCTATTTGTTCCGCGGTATGTGAAGTTGGTCATTGAAACTGGAAATAACTAACGATGTATTAAATTTATTTTTATGTTATGCCGCTCTTGTGCTGTGTCCGAGCGTGCCTCACTGTCGGTACAACATTGAAACAAACGGCGAGCGCAGCTGTGAGTTTTGAAACTCTGGTCTGTATTTGTTAGCTTTAGTCGCCACGCAACTGATGCTGACTTCGGGACGTGCCATCGTGCCGTGCAACTCTGACGATCTACTCTGTACAGTTTCATTTACAACTACATTTTTCTTTACATTTACATTGTTTTTTCGAATGCTTCCTCCTTAATGTTTTTGCAGAAAAAAAGCTCTGGATCCAAAATTAGTTTCTGTTGTTCTGAAGTTGCTATATCTCACGACGCAGTTCGCAGTGAACATAGCTTTTTATAGCAGAATTCGCGAGCTTGATTATTAATTGAACTTTGATGAATGCATTATTCGCGGACTCTATGGCGCATCGTCTGCAATCGTTACTATTTGCACATTTGTGGAGTTCCGGCACCATGCAAGGGCGGAATGTCACCTGAAATGCAAGTTCCAGTGTTGCCGCGCTCATGAAAGGAGGGTGCGAAAATGAATGTCGCGCAATTGTTGATACAGTTGATTTGGAATTCTCAGTCGCATTTTTATAACTGTATGCTTCAATTCTAATGTGAATGGCTCCTTTACTATTATGTTAAAAAGTCGCACTCTCATTTATTCAGTTCTTTGAGGAAAAATAATCTAGAACGCTAAAGTTGATGTTATGGATTTTAAGTTCATCTCATTCGGTGTAGTTTTTCGTCAAAGGCATTAAATTAATCCGAGTTGCGTTGTATTTAATTGCTGAGGTTTGCTTTTGTTGGATGTGTCGCGTGCTTCTTAACCGTTGTTCGTTGCGGTACCAGTGAAATGATAATTTCATTTATTTTCTAAATAAATGACACATAATTTCATACGTCATTGTTTTATCAGCTGTTAGAATCTTTTATGGCATTGTGCATTATCTTCGCCACGTAAGTGCGTATTCTTCTAAAGCTTCAAAAAATTCCGTCAACGGTTTGTTTTTGAGGATTTCGGCAACAAATTGGAAGTGGGTGACATGAATTATTTTTTCTTACGGTTTAGTCCCGATAATTCATTGCATTTTTTGTAATATTAACTAATATTCGCACAAAAAAAACATTGCGCCCAAAGCCTAGTTTTACGATTCATTTATTGTGTTTTCATCGATAATAAAAATGCAGTTGAGAGCGCGTGCAACGTGTGACCTGAGACAGCCTATGTTTTTGTGCGACCTTAACAATACGATCGCGCGACCTTGCATCGATCCCGTCACAGGCTTTCTAGGCTAATCTCTTGGTGTGCCCTGACGCTGACAGCTCGTCTTGTTCAGGAACTTGTTTCTGGAGGTTGTGCTTACGATCCTGTGAGTGGCAGTGTGCTATGAGCACATGTACAGCTCATGTAAACGTGCACATAAATTCATTGTTTTACAGTGTTATGCCGTACGGTATTCAAAAACTTCCATTTTATTGCTTGAATCTTATATATTGCAGTGTAGATTTTTTTGTGTAACAAGGCGTATATTACAAGGCATTTGTGGATGTGCGTTAGTTTTACTAAATTTTCACTTTCGCTGTGTGCGCTCGCCTTTCAGTGACGTGCGATGAGAGCGGAATTTAGTAAGCCAGATTCATATTTATCATTAATTATAATCATTGAGTCATAAGCTGAATTTCGTAAGCCAGATTCATATTCATCATTAATTATAATATTCATTGAGTCATAAGCTGAATTTCATAAGGCAGATTCATATATCATTATTTTCTAACACGAAGAATTCTAGTGCAGGGTATATATTTTTGGAAATGATTGTCTGGTAAATTATCACTTTATTATTTGCTAATTTAGTATACGTCATTGGGAAATTTCTAAAGCAATTTCTGCCTATGTCGCAATTATTATACGCAAAAAATATTCTTTAATTTAGCGCACGGCATTGAGAAATTTCTGTAGCCATACCTGCATATGTCACCATGTTAGAACGCGAAAGAATGCTAAATATTTTGCCTTTAAAGTATACAGTTTTACTATACTCGTTTGGTTGTGAAAGAATTAGTCCGTTAATCTTCAGTTGGACGCGCCAAGTTTACACCAAGACGTAGGGTAGTTGAGTGCAGGTGCACCGGCGCAGCTATAGGCAGTGTCAGCCAGTGGCTGACTGCACGACGCTTGCCCCGTGCTAAGAGTGAGCTCTGTGCCAACAAAAGCTCAACCTTATAAGTGTTATCCTGTCGATGTTGCGTTTCCAACCCACCCAGGCCTTTTAGCAAGCGAATAATTTATTCTGAAAATCTGTGTACAATTATGTATTAATAATATTTAATATAAATTTAATGAATTCCGAATCTGTATATGCTCGGATCAAGACGCGAGTGGGAAAATGATTGTCAGAACTTCGAGTGTGGATGCATCTTTAAGAATTGCGTCACAATTCTCAGTGACAATGTGGAAACATATGTCACTGAGTAAATAATGTACCACTCATACAAAGTTAATTGTGCAATTTGTCCAAATCTCTTTTGCGAAGTAACTGGCAAAAATATTTTTAACGAACTCTTCTGAGATCACGAGGAAACGACACTTGATATGGAAAAAAATGGGTAAGCAAGCAAGCAAGTCAGCCAGACATAGGAATTATAATGAAATAAAAGGCGAGGCGTAATGTTCTCGTTGAAGTGTTAGCGCGTAAAGGTCGGAGGCTTCTTATTCGAGTAGAATTTCCTGATTTCCAGCGGATATTTGAGCCTCTTAATGATTGAATAATATTTTTCCAGGCGATGCAACGTCCTCACTATCAGCTCAATTAACATTGAGCAAAATACGCCAATTAAAAATACAATACATATCGTTCACAGTACAATGGAACACCACAAAAAATAATCATGTCAGCTGATAAAGAGGATAATTGCTGTCTCATTCATGACCTTCGTAATTGCAAGGGAAAGTTCTTAGATAATATAACTGCAAACTTGAGCTCCAACTCTCCAATTCGGAGGCTTATTTTTTACAGCTGTTTTCACTTGTCTGGGTATAATGGAGAGGTGATTGCTCAAGAGCAATGCTAGTCGCTGACCGGAACGACCGCCATATTTTCATCGAAATATTTTTTTATGAGGAATCTGGCAGGAAATGTTTGAATCGGCAAATTCAAGGTGAATCCGCCTGCAAGTTTAAATTGAATTGGTCTGCAACTCTAAATTGAATTGGTCTGCAACTCTAAATTGAATTGGTCTGCAAGTTTAAATTGAATCCGCCCGCAAATTTTAATTTAATTGGTCAGTAAGTTTTAATTGAATCCGCCTGCAAGTTTTAATTGAATTGGTCAGTAAGTTTTAATTGAATCCGCCTGCAAGTTTTAATTGAATTGGTCAGTAAGTTTTAATTGAATCCGCCTGCAAGTTTTAATTGAATCAGTTTGCAAGTTTTGATTGAATCGGTCTGCAAGCTTGAATTAAGTAGGTAACAAACTTAGATTAAATCCGTTTGTTAATTTATATTAAATCCGTTCACGAATTTTAATTAAATTCGTTCTCGAATTCAATTTATATCCGTTCGTAAGTTGTAATTCATCCGCCAGTCAATTTGTTCTGTTCAAGCAGCTCAATTCTCGTATATGTCGGAGGAGATAGCATTACATTTACATCGCAACGAAGAGAGTAGAAAACAAGTCAGATTGTTAAAATAACTTTTAGTCGTTTGGTCATGCTTAGCTGTCATATTCACTTTGCTTTTGGTCATGTTCACCAAATCGTTTTATGCTTACGCTTACAATAAATTTACAATAATAGATTGTAAATTGCCGGATTATGAAACTCGAGCTTGAGTCCTCACGCTCTTCTGTTAATTTTTTAAAGAATCTATTTTTGTGTACCGCTGCTGACAGGAAAAAAAATCATTTTCAATTATAAATGGCTATTTTTTATCGATTTGTACACTTTGAATATTTCTGTTGATGATTTAATTCAACGAACAAAGGGATCTAAGAGTTGATCTGGCTTGCCAGAATAAGTGAATAGTCTGGAAAGTTTTTCTTTTCAACTATCTTTAAATTCATTTTCTTGGCAACCCACATGCACGATATCAGCTACTCATTTCTTTTTGATATCATTTATCATCGATACCTACGCCAAATTAAAGGCGCTTCCCATGCTATTACATTTCAAAATTTGGTTCGTATAACGTATGATTATTGAGCATCGTATTCCTCATCTGACGGAACTGCAGTGCATTAGTTCGTTGTCGCGAGCGTCTTCACTGCGCCTCGATATTTGCATATGCCGTCTAAGCTAATTTGTTAGCTTATGCATCATCATGTGCTTATGTTGTGCTAAACCCGGCATATATAATAGACAAATTTGAAAACTTGGTATATCATATGCTTGTGCCTTATTATCATGCGTTTTTAGTTTACTACAAATCGTGTGTCACAATTGCAATAATTATTATATACTGGCTATGTGTTTTGTTGTCTTATTGTTTTATCCGTTGTATGATGAATTGCATCTTTCATTTCAGAATTCTTTATTTACAATTTCGGTCTTCATTCTAAGATTGAGAAGAACTTATACAATTGTCGTGTTCAGTAGTTTTATAAGTAAATAAACATATACCGTAACTATTTACGGTTGTTGCAGGATGGTGCTGGGGCGCGGTAACCGCAGCTGCAGCGACGGCGGTCGCACGCTCAACATGACGGGCGAGACCCCAACGACGTCGTCCGCGCCGCTCTCATACGGCGCTGTCGACGAGTCCGACGTCATAATCCTGACCGTGCCAAGTGGCAGTAGTGGCAGCAGTGCCGCCGAGGACAGTGATGACGGTAGTGGAAGTGGCAGGAGCAGCATGTGCGGCAGCAGCACTGAAGTTTTACTACATGAGAACTGTTACCAGAGGCAACCTCTGCTCCCGCTATTCGCACATTCCGGTCTTGATCAAGACGAACCTTCAACCTCGTCAATTTTCTCTAAAGTGACTGGCAAAAAATCCAGGTAAGATATTAATTTAATTTCTTATGTGTTCTCGTGTTTCTATACCTTAATAGTGTTTATATTTTTGGGTCGTTTTAATACATCGGAATGTGCATGCCAATTTGTGTTCATAATGGTGTGAAATAATGAATTCGTTCATACATTCGAATGAACGAATTAATAAGAAATCTTCGTGGTTCGTTTATTCGAACGTTCGACAACTCCATGTAAACAGTTGAGTATCCTCGACAATTGTCACATTCAGGTCTTTTCTTCGAGTTGTCATTTCTATACTTTATATTCCCGGGACATTGTTGTGAATTCCGACATCCAACAACGTAGGCTGAGCATCAGTCTGGTGCAATGTTTGCACGAATGTGTTTAGTCGCGCCGGAAACGATCAAATGCGCTGAAATTCCTGAGCGTTCAGCTCACGTCAGCAATCGGCATGAATACTGCATTTTGTGCGTGCCGGATCATGAAACGCGGGATAAACTTCTCGAGCTAACTTTTTTAGCGTCAGTTCTGAACAAGACCTCGGTTTGGACGAAGGCATTTGGCTGAAATTTGGCGAAATCTATTGTTGACTGCTGTGCCATAGGGGTTTTTGTAACTATGGTTATTTTACAGCCAGTGTACTATATACCTCAGTGTTTGATCGTTCGGAGATGAACAATTCTTGCCACTTGTACTAAATTGAACGTGGAATCCAATTCTCCGTTCTTGCGTCTATGAAGGCAGCAATAACTCTGATTTGCTGCACTTGGCATGTTGTTGTGTTGTTCGTGTAAGAAATTGAGACCAATCTTGCAGTTAATGTGTTGAGAGTTGATTCATTTGGCCTCGTTTGCACTTGAACAATTTGCATTTTTGTGGCCATGTAACACCAACATCCTCTTGCTGCTCACTCGTCATGTCCCATCCGTCTGTGCTGGCTGTCTCCGTCCTGTACGATACGAGCTCACTTGCTCTGCATCCTGTGGACGTCTCAAACTTGCTTCTTCTCTGCATATCTTATCCATGGACTCGGTAGCAATATGCTCAAATGAGGTCTCGCAATAATGCAAAAATTATAGAAAAAATATAGAATATAGAGGATTATGTTCAATTTTCCGTCTTGATCATTTGAATCATTGTTATATAATAATGCTGAAAGGTCATACTAACTGAAATTTCTAAGAAGATGCTTCACTATGATATCACTTTATTTTCGGACACTGTTTTTTATGTCATTCTAGGACTTTTTTGTGCTATTGTATTTGCTGCAATCTCGTGCGTCTCGGCCTGGAAAGGATCCTCTCACTGTTTATATCGTCCACTTTGTTGTGACGCGATATCCCAGTCACAGGCTTCCATTTCGGCACCAAGCAATTGTTTTCACCGTGATGTCCAATTTGTCAGAGCCCAACATTCGGAAACATTGCTGGCATCGCGTAGGCCTACATGAGAGAGTTCAATAGTTATGCCAATTGCAGACCTGAAAATCAGATTGAAAGTTGTCTTGCAATTGTATATAGTTGTTCATAACTCGCAATGTATGGTGTCTCTGTTGTGTATTCACGTTACTTCCTCTATTTCTCTTTATGTGTGCTTTTGCGTCGAACTCACGCCCTATGTGTGAAGAGAACATCAATTCTGTCCACGAACACATTTTCCATTAACAGTTGATAATGTCGTGACCTTTATCATTATCCCTTATTCTGCTTGTCACAGTTTTATTGTTACCGAAAGATTTAACGATGTTTTGTCTGGTCATAAATATAATTCAAGTTCTATATTATGTTACTTAGTTTAGCACTAACATGCGATGTGAATAAGTCCGTCGGCTGCTTAGTGTCTGGTTTGGTGTTTCTGTAATAAGGTTGCCAGCATGATGTGTTGCTCTGCCCAGACGTTGTGAGGCGTTCGATCAATATTGATTTACACCTGCGACGATCGTTGTCCCAATGAATACACATAAGGTTACATACAACACTGCCACTAGCCAACTCTCGCGTTCAAATAGAATGCTAGTACATTTTTTAGTTTTATTTTAATTTTTAAAGAATGTCTCGCGTTTCTAATAAGCAGGATTTCGGCAGCTCATATATCTATGGTACAAAATTATTTTTACAGTGCTTTTTGTTCATGTCGGACTAAGAGACTATCTATCATTGATAAGATCTGCTGACTTGTATCTACCTTATAGCAACAGTCTGGTCAGTGCCACGTAACCCAGTACCAAACGTGGTTCCATTAGGTGACCAGATCTGCTGCTTGTGTGCTTCTGTCGTGACTTTTTGCGTGCCTTCATCTCATTATCTGCTCTACCTCTCGTGATGTGCACAAAATTACAGGAACTTTTCATGCTCCTTGTGAACGAGGTTCTTGGTCACGATAATCAATTATTTATGCGTTTGAATTAATCGGATGAGGCTTCAAGCAGTGCCTTATAATTCGATGCGTCCTTCGGTCAACACTACCATCCTGTCCCTCTTTGTCCATTCTAAGCTCTATAAATAAGAATATTAGAGCTCACCAGGCGACGGGCGAGTTGAATCTTTAATTGGCTTTGTCTTCTTGAAGAAAGTATAGCCAAGTTACTTGAGTGATGTATTGGTGCCATAACTCTATTGGATACAATTTGTCGAGGAATCTCGCCTAGCTTGCTGGCGGTAGTGGTTTGATCACGAGAAAAAAAAAACGAGAATATATAGGTAACTGGAAGGTCAGTGACAGAATTATCATGAAATAGCCGTACGCTTCGGTATGTCGCGCAATCAGGGCACCTTGTACACGAGTCATTAATGATGTAATCAAGTAAATGACGTCAAGTGTACCTTTAAGAATTATTATTTGACGTGATTACACGAACTGAACCAAAGTATGACCTCAACTGCAGCGCCTCCACTACATGAGCCTCGTGCTTCCGAAACTCGGTTGGCAACTGTACATATAAATTACAATGGCAATTTTACATGCACAAGATATTTTCTCTGTGTGATAACACCCATCTCAGTTTGGTGAACAAAACGAGAGTGCGTCTGGAACGGCTCCTTTCTCTGTAATTCAAAACTGTTGCAAAAAAAGTTTTTAACTAAAGTGTACGAAGAGTTTCACGAGATCAAGAACATTTTAACCTTTCTATTACGTGTAAACATCTGCATGTTCATTAGTTGGGTGCGTCATTTTGACTGGTGATTAGAGTGCTGCTACTTGATGTACTCTTTACTGAAAATAATGCCATCAAATAGGGAATGTGTGCTACTGGGATTTAATCCCTATGCTGAAATAATTTTTCATTTTAGTAACTGACATAATGAAACGTGAAACAAAAACGCGCATCTTATGATTTGTATGGGCACACCTCTCAATTCATATTTCATACTAAGATCTTTTAAAGATATTCTCAGGTAAGGAGGGGAAAATATCGGAATAGACATTGATACATGGTGTGTTTTCAGTGAAGGAAACGTCTCTTGATTCAAGACAATCCTTCAACGCATGAACAACCAAGACATTTCTTCTATGTTGAATGCCCTATGAGATATAGAATGAATTCGTAGCAATATTTTCTTAGCATCGTTTGCTTTTAAATAGCGACATGCCTGCAACGGTTCATGCTGGAGCCGCGCACAAACTTGGACTGATTGTACTTGCATGTGAGCAGCAACTGAACCTTACCGAGATACCATGCGTGAGATTAGAACTGCTGGCAGCGCTAATAGTTTCGCTTATCAAACTTGTTATCTAACCCACAGTTTATGACATGTGAATCAGTGGTCGTTAGCTTATGTATTTTGAAGGACAATCTTACACAGTTTGCTTTCTAAATTATAATTTTTGTTCGGCATTAACCAATTTCCCGTTTCTATCGAATCGGGAAGTTAGGTAGGATACCTATATTAAAAAAGAAAACTATTATTGTTCTGCTATCACATGTAATGCAGCCAAGTACGGGATCTAAATGAAGAGCACTTTTTGCCTGTGTAGGGGAAATGGAATTCCCGTGAGTTGGAACTTATTTCCATTGAAAATTTCGGTTCCCTCTGAGATATTTCCTCGGCGTTTCGGAAAATTTTTTGTTTCTGTGTCCAATCTCCAAGTTTTTTCCTCAAAATTCAGGTTAGTATTATACTGACCATAGATCTTAATTGGGTTTGGCCGCCGCTGCTGATTTCACTAAACAACTTTTAATTTGAACCAAAAACGCTCGTGTTGGATAGAACATGACTAAAAAATGTCTATTTATTTTCTTCAGTAATGTAGTGTCAATATACATTTTGACACTAAATATTATGGCATTATTATAGTGTTATTAGCTTTAGTGTACATATAAGTAAAGTGTTGTACAATTTATCTCGTGAAAAAGACCATAAACAAATTAAATGAAATCAGAAATCTGGACACTTGAATTTATTGTTAAAATAAAAAAAGGGTTTATACTAATAATGTTCCAAGAGCAAACTTTAAACATGGTAATATATCAGAGATGGAGCATCATCATTACTGAATGGATACTCAATTTAGTATTTATTATTTCAAATGCCATATTGCGCAAAAGTAAATATGCTGCAAATCGTACAGAATAATACATTGTTGACATCGTGTAATAATTGTAAAAGTAGTTGCACTAATGAAAGCGCTGGTCATTTGCATTGGCAATACCACCCACATGAGGAAAATAAGTGATCTGTTGAAATTAAAATTTGCTCATAACCTTTCCTATGACTTGAATTGTATTAACAATGCGCGAAAACTTTAATTAAAACCTAACAGTCATGTATTAAAAATGTTCCATCAGCAGTTCAGCACACCTCCTAGAAAGCGCCATACAAATTTCATTTAAAAATATAAATATATACAAAAAATCCTAGGATTCAAATTCTTTGAAGGCCATATATCCTAAAACCGGAGCTGGATAATAGGTATTCGTCTTGGTTTCTGTCAATAAATTCATTTTTTCACTTAGCCATCGGCATCATCAAGGAAGTTGTTTTATATGTTCCTCTCTCGTTTTAGACTCGAAATCATAATTACAATTGCTCCCTCAGGCAAACTCATAACAATTTTGATCCACTAACAGGTTTTCTCAAAAGAATTCTTCTAAAGAATTATGCCTGTAGTATATTTGTTCACATATTGAAGAATACCGTACTGCTCTTGGAAATCATGTTAGCAGTAAAAACCTAGGAAGAAAAACAATAAAAAACCCACGTGCAAAATGGTTGAATAGCACCAGTTTTTGCATGACCAGCAATGTATCGCAAGATGCTCAGCGTTGCTTGCTGATCTTTTTAGCGCCCAGCAGACATAGGCGGCAGACTAGCCTTACGTTCCCTGCGCGCTCAGCTCTCCTCTTTAGTTTGGCTGCGCGTATCTGTGCTACGCAAGCGACCACGCTTCCTTACAAGGGGCGGTACTAATTAAACTGCGTATACGTAGCGACCTGAGTACGCGTAGCGGTAGAATTCTCGCCTGTGATTGGTGAGTTGGACATGAAAAGAATTCAATGATTGGCTGGCGAAGTTACGAGTACGTAACTTTTATGAATAGTGAGGCCTGTGATAATTGAAGTGGATTCCCGAAGTGATAACGATCTTCTTAGATTTTATTGTGATAATTAATAAAATTACGGTCTGTTATAGAGCGATTTAATGTTGATAAATATTAATTTATGAACTAACGTACGTTGCATGAAATAGTTATTTGAAAGATATAAGATTTCTTGACGTCAGCTACAGAGCACTTCTTTTTAACATTGTCCTTTTGCTGCAAGTTTTGAGACTCTTGCCTTTTTAAGTTCAAAATTTTATGTATCACATAACAGCGAAAAAACTTCAGAAATGGGGAAAACGTCCGAATATTTGTGATGTAGATGTGAATAGTCAATGAAAGTACAAACTGGTGATAGTACAAAGTACTATCTCCAGTCTGGGGTGTTTTTTTTTGGGGGGGGGGGGCAAGCTTTATCAATCAGTTTTCGTAATTATACCAATACTACTTAGTATCTGATTGGTCGGCTACGCGAGTCTTTGTTAGTGGAAATAACCGCTACAAAATACAAATATTCTCGAGTAACTCATGCAAGGTCATTCCTCAAAAAATGGACAAGCTTGCTGTGGAAAAACCGATTTTTATTAACTTGATGGGAGCTCCAGTAGCTCAAGGTTTGCCATCAGAAAATAAATGAGCATGTTGTGGGAAAAACCGTGTTTTGACACTTCTTTTAAGACTTATTATTTTTAAATTAAGAGTCTTAAATCACGGTTGAAATTTGAAAATTATGTATTTATGCTTCTGCGTCGCTCCTTTTGTTTGACTTTTTGTGAATATATTTACATTAAAGGCATCAATTATGTGAATGAATTTGCGTATGAAATTGCAGTGATAATTCCCCATAATTTGCTATATTTCATCTGTCATTTTTTTCGTGTTAAGTTGGTAATTACGCCTTGTTTAATTTTTTTTTGTTGAAATCATACCCACCGATGTCACTTCATCATTACCTCCATCACTTGGTAATTTTTGTTCAATTCCTTGCATGATTAGAAAGTTAATTAACTTATGGCTGTGTGTCAACCGTCGAACGTGGAATGTCAATGAGGAAACTAATTCTTTTCACTAATCAGTAGCAGAGCTCATATCGTGAAGGTTGTTTCATCATTGTCATGCTGTCGTTACCTCTCATGTCAATAACGTTAGCAGCTGTGATAGGCTTGACACATTTACGATTTGCATAATTCGAGATGAGAATTAGTTCTTTGCCGTGAACAAATACGCGATTTATTAACGTTTGGAAGTGAAGGCATCCACATGTGAAGTTGACGAGAGGCTCTCGAGTTGTGCAAGCGTCTTCTCACCGGGCGCTGATTTGTTTACTCGCGCCTCGTATACTCGGACGTGAGCCTGGCTCTCTGCTGTCACCTGACCGAGCGTGTGCTAGGTTCTGCGTCTTTTGGGTACAAAGTCTGCTATGGAAGGTTTCATTTGAAAATTGCTTGGTAATATTATTATGGATAATCAATTTTTATGCTACTTGTGGTTTTATGGCCCTGACGACGCTCCGGCATTCGTCGCGGAAGTTTACTTCGTTTGCAAACTTTAATTTAGGGTGTCATACGAACCAGTCATTTAACTGCAATTTGTGAAGCAAACATTTAGATCATAGCGGGACTGTTGATCTCCAAATATTCTCGATTACTCGACACAAGAAGTGCAATGCTCGTAAATTACAACTTGTCACTCATAGAAACGCTGCTTGATCATAAGATGCAGTTTAGTATGTACTACCATCGTTGATCTTACGATTGTCGAAATGAATCATTAGCACAGCGATACCAGGACATATAAGTTTGATCCGTTCTGTGGCCAGGTTGTCGGGAAGAAAGTGTTCGTATCATTAGGACAAAAAGTCAAAAAGATTTGGTAAATACAGCGTTCAACTTTGAAACGATGCCCCAAAAGTCGGTGCAAACAACGCGAGATGCTTGTGCAGCGAGATAAACTGGCTAAGTGGACGATGAGAGAGTAAATGGCATGCAAGAGAGGAAAGCTTGCAGCACTAAACTAACAGAAAATGAACGAGAGAAGACGGTTAGTATTCCTGAGACACGTTCGTAGATATATACGAATTTGTTCGAACACACGGCTCCTAATGTGGACCGTTCTCCTGTGCCCACGTCCGAGTACGGGTTCCAACTGAACATGACTCAAATTTGCAACTGCATTAGTTTAATTATTGCTTCAGTAATGTTTAACCGAAAAATTGCCGGCCTCGTTACTTTCTTGGTTATCGGCATTGTTCGCAGTAACATCACTGCCATCCTCTAGTTTCATTAGTTTCTCTTACTAAGCTTATGAGGCTTTCTATCAAATCATAAATAAATAATGTTTAAACCTATTTTTTCTCGTACACAGTGCATTATTTATTATTAGATGCATGTTTGCATGTATAAAAATCCAGAAAAATATTCTTTTGACTTTCAGATTATGTGGATTTGTGCTTCGCGTGCTCTATTCTTCTTGTACTGACAATTTGAAATATAATGTCTAAAGAATACGTCATTCTAGTCCCCAAAGAAACTGAAGACGAAGAACTTTCGTCAGCTAGTGAGTAAGTGTGAAATGTTTCGCTGGGATTTTGTGATCGCTTTACTACTCCGCGCCTCTAGCACAGAATTCTGACGGATCACGAAGAACTTGACTTACTGCAGAAACTTTTCATTTGGTTTACGTGTCGTAGTTGTAAATTTTAAGCAAATTGCCCAGTGATCGCGCAGTGCGCACTTCATGAGCATATTTCTGAGATGTATAAGCGGTGAAGTCATGAGGCAATGATACGAGCATCCGCTGCCGTCTCAAAGCCTTGCACTTCTCGTGGCTTTCTACTTCCTCTTGCATACTTCTTACTTCTTCTCTCACACTCCGTACTGCCACTCTCACACTCAGTACTGCCACTCTCACACTCAGTACTGCCACTCTCACACTCTGTACTGCCACTTTCACACTCCGTACTGCCACTCTCACACTCCGTACTGCCACTCTCACATTCCGTACTGCCACTCTCACACTCCGTACTGCCACTCTCACACTCCGTATTGCCACTCTCACACTCCGTACTGCCACTCTCACACTCCGTACTGCCACTCTCACACTTTGTACTGCCACTCTCACACTCCGTACTGCCACTCTCACACTCAGTACTGCCACTCTCACCTCCGTACTGCCACTCTCACACTCCGTACTGCTACTCTCGTATTATTTCCTTTTCTGTTTTTTGAAGGCATAACTCGAGTAATTGTGTGGCCTAACGCCACATCATTTCCATTATATTTCACTTAGGTTATTGGTACTGCAGTTATGATGACGATCGTGCGATCTAAGCTCATAAATTTCACGTCGTCGAGTTTTCTGCATTAATCTTTTGAAATATTTGCCCGACTTGCAGCAGTAGGTTGAATGGTTGTGCTTGTACAATCGTACAGTCTCCATCGAAGGCGAATATCACGATCGTTGAAAGCTTGGGAATTATTTATTTGTTCAAACTTGTCGATGTGGTAATTGTTTATTGGTGTTTTGTAGGTGAAATGAATGGAACCTTGACATTATATATAATGCTGTAATGTTTCTATTAGTTCAGATTAAAACGGACGGTTTCATTAGTTCATTGACGATAACTTCCAATGGGTGAATGGGTCATTAGGCTTGGTCCAAGTTCCAAGTTTACTAAGTAGAACAGCAGACAGAGGAGGGAAGTTCTCCAAGAGAAAGAAGACAAGCGGCTGGCTTTAGTAAGAATCAACAAATGGCCAAAGCGTAAGACAATTCCTTCAAATACTTTGGTTGATGTTGCCAGAACATCTGCTACAAAATTTCCAAAACTAAAATTCATTACAAATACCAAGAAGTGATCTAATGTCCTTCAAAGTTAAGACGATGTCTGTTTGATTTTTGACAACGTCGAGTTATGGAATGTTCAATGCCAGCTCGACCGTAATTCCTCTTGACTATATTGTGATAGGAAACTCGAGTCAGAGCTTTGCTGTATTGGGATAATTGGACGCGGTTAGTCCAAAAAGTTAGAACTTTTACCTCTTTGTAGTATTTGTATTACTTTCCTCGCTCGCACTTCTGACGTTGACTGTGAATAAAATGTTTGGAGAATTATTCAAATTGTTTCTATTTTTGGCAGCCATCACGATGGGGCCCACAGTTCCAGCAACGGTGCGACCAATTTCTTCAACGCGACCGCCACGTCCGCCGTCAACGCTGTCAACGGCCTCGTCAAAATACAGATGCCGAGTCCGCATCGCGACGAGCCTAGGTTTCCTCCAGAGAAAGTCAAAACTTTTGTAGGTGAGTTGAATTTTCCAACTTATGCCTAGAAAAAGCTCAACTCAGAAAAATTAATGAGGCATATTCTCTGAATAGTGACACACTGTTTGTACGTAGCGGCCAAACACTTTTACCGGGCCAAAGTGGGTAAGGATGACCCACAATAGGCCAAAGTTTCATCGCTATTTAGACAAAGTCTATACTCATTTCTCCATGTGTGGCCAATATTTCTACGAACATTTATGAAATTTTAAACTACTTAAGAATTAGCTTCCGAACATGATATATTTCATATGTACTTATTGATTATGTTAAAAACGATCGTTTCCGTCTATTTTACGTCGAATAAACAGTGATGTTCAAAATTATAATTTTCGTTGATTTTCCGAGCAGTCTTTCTATACGGAATCTAGCCCCAAAAACGAGTTTGTTATATCGTGAAAACGGCCAACCTAAATTATTTGTGATAAACCGCGGAGTTGGACGTGATGCTGCCCAGTCGGAAATATGTAGTTAATTGCTATAGCGAATCCATTCATAATGTAACCTCAACTGTTGATGAAGGTCCCCTCAGAATTCGCAGCTATAACTGTATGCTGCTCCTATGCTTACGAAGTTACGGCAGCTCGAGTGATTCAAAGTGGGATCCACGTGGGGAACAAATTCAGATGAATGGCCGAAGTAGTCTCGAACTGTAAGATAAAAACTGGGCCGTTTGATGCACGAAGTTGAGTAATGACTAGAGTATTCAATAAAAAAATTATGAGTAAACTAACTGACCGACTAAAAGCAAGTCAATAATATATCTGAAAAATACCGTGAGCTTCTTAAGAAGTCGCAAGCCCGGCACAGTAGTAAGCCTAGCACAGTCGTATGTCCGGCACAGTCGTATGCCTAGCACAGTTGTAAGCCTAAGATAAGGAGATTTGTGACTGCGTTACCAAGAATGCGTGGCGTATCAGCAGGTCTGAGCTGGCACAACCTGTCCTGGCCAAGCTTTCATTGAGAGGCTCGATCACCTCACCATTAACGGCCGACCGTGTTGTACATAATAGATTTGAATATGGAATTCCGATGTGGATATGTATTCCCAAGTATGTGAATCATTCCAAAGTCTTCTAAGACCATCTTGTTGCTTTAGAATTACATGTCTCTTGTGTTGTTGGGAATCATGTTTTCATCAGCAATTTTTGATCGGGCTACAAGAAATGATTCTTCATTAACCTCCTTGTTAGAGTATTTGCGTCCCCAATAACTTCAATAAAAAATACGACTTTAGTCACAATAAATGTAATAAGTTGTAATTTTGTGTGCAGCGCTCGCGTTCGCGTTGATATCAGCGCTGGTGAACACGACGTCGCTTGCTATGGTGCATGAGCGCGTTCCTCAGAACGACCCCCCGCTGCCTGACATCTTCTTGGACTCCATCCCCGTCCAGCAGTGGGGCCTCGAGGTCTCCGAGATCATGATCATCTGCATGAACTACTTCACTGTCGTCACCATCATCTTCCACAAGCACAGGTATAGCCTACACCTGCTCTCTTATTACTACTTATCATTTCTTACCTGTTGAGTGCTGTAGACTACAAAAGTGCAGCTATTTACTTATGATTGTCTATGATTCCACAGACACATAGTGTTTCGTCGTTTGTTCCTGGTAATGGAACAAACGGTTACCTATTGAATGTTGTAGACTACAAAGGTGCAATTATTTTTTCTTTTTTCATTCCAAAGACACATGTATAGTTTTTTATCGCTTGTTCCTGATAATGGAACAAGTGGTTACCTATTGAATGATGTAGACTACAAACATGAAGTTATTTACTTATGATTTTTTTCATTCCACAGACACATAGTTTTTCGTCGCTTGTTCGTGATACTGGGCTTCCTCTACCTGTACCGCTCAGTGACGATATTCGTGACGGTTTTGCCCGTCGCTAACCCCAGCTACTATTGCTCACCAAAGTCCAACAGCACGACGCCCTTCCTCTTCCTCGAGCGCGGACTCAGAATCCTGTCCGGCCTCGGCATGTCAATCAACGGGAAGCACACGTACTGCGGCGATTACATATTTTCTGGGCACACTATGGTGCTTGTGCTCTGCTATCTGGTGACGGCTGAGTACACTTCTAGGCGCTGGTGGATCCTGCATTGGATTTATGCAATTATGAGCACCGTCGCAGTTCTTATGGTGCTCATTGCGAGAGGTCACTACACCATCGACTGTATCATCGCATACTTCATCACCACTCGTCTTTGGTACATCTATCACACCATGGCCAACAATCCCAACCTCAAGGTGACTAATTACTTTATTTACACTTCATCTCCCTGCTTTATATTGTGCTTCTCTGTGCTTCTCTAATCATATATGTTTCTAAATATCCTCTAATATTGTTTCTAACTTAAATAATACAATACTCATTGAAATCTTTAACGGATATAATCCAGTCGCTCCTTGTAGCTAAACTCCTTTTTTAAATTTTCATGAATTTACAGTTTTAGATCATTATGAAGAACCCAAAGCTAATCAGGCACTAATAGCAGCAGCTTCTATTCTAATTACTGTAGACCACGTGCCCGCAATACCAAATGTTGTTTGTCCGCAGGAGAGCGGTCCACACAACCACCTGAGCCGCATCTGGTGGTTCCCGATCTTCCAGTACTTCGAAGGAAACGTGGGCGGCACGGTACCCCGGCAGTACGAGTGGCCGCTGCCCTGGCCAAGAAGATGGGGGGCCAAACTCCCACAGAGAACTTCCTAGAACTTGCCGCCATCCCAGCCATTGTAACTTGAATAAAGTTGTATCTCTTAGAACTGAGCAGCAGTTTCGTTCTGCGATACTATCAATAGTTGCGTCTTTTGAAATTTTCTAATGGTTTTAAGTACTGGAAATGTCTGTACAGTCGTCTTGTTTACATGGCCAGAAAATGACATCATCAGCATTGACCAAAGGCGGTGGTTATAGAAGCGAAAGTTCAAGTGGAATCTTAGGTCGTTGATGGCGTCTACAGGATGCGTCTCTATTTGCTAAGTCAGTGAACGATGTACCAAGAAGAAGGGTTGACTTCTTCCGTTAAGATTTAATTTACACAGTAGGATCTTCGTAGTCAGTCGTTCTTAATGAGTAAGAATTAATAATGCCAAAAATACCTGCAGGTCTTAGATGATCAGCCTTCATTTTTTTACTGCCAAAGTGCTTTGAAGTTCATTTACGATTCCGTTCATCCATTCTTCAGAACTAACTGAGCTCGATAACTCCGGTCGCTGCAGTTCCGTCGCATGATCATAACAAAAAAAAAAAAACTACCATGTTTCACTAATGCCTTATTTAACATTAATCATATCATTAACCTGACTCCGAGAAGCAGTTGAATTTTGGGCAAAGGCATCGTACTGTTAAGCGCTCATATTTGACAATCTAGTGCTTGCTTCTGAACTCGTGTGCTTCTCCATTTTTCTCGTCATTGACTTCTTAATCCTAATATGCGCTTTTTTCTGTGTCTTTAATTGCAGAGTTTCTTGTATATCTTATCAATTGTTGATCGTGACCTTAATTGCCTTCCCGTTTGTACATTCATCATTTAACTGTGATCCAACTTCGATGAGGCTGCAGCGTGCAATACTGCATTGAAAATTTGACACGAAGAATACCTATCTGGAAACTCAACACTCAATTCATTTAAGCGAGCCGAAAATGGAGTTACAACTCCAGCCTTGGAGTTGCAACTCCATCTTATCTCCTAGCTGTCAGACTTCAAGTACAACTGTACGTTTGGCAGTTTGCTTGATGTACTAAACTTCTACATCAAGTTCACTACATCTGCTGGAGAATAATTTATTTTTTTCAACCCATCTGAAAGATTCACGAGGCGGTGTTGCTGATATCAAACGTGCCTTACGAACGCTGGGAAAGTTTACTTTATTGCGATAAATTTGAACGGTTCAATGATACATTAAATCGGTTCGTAACCCAAAGCAAATTACTCATGAAACTGTACATGATTCTTGGTTCTTGCATGTGTTAAAGATTATTTTCCGATAAGAAGCGTAATACGTACGTTGCGAAATAACGCTTGCTGACACGGATACATATTCTTATTCCTAATCAAAATGAAAAATTGATCGAGCCAAGTATTCGGTTTTTAATTAGATGGGATTCTTCTTTGGTCGGTGCCTCGGTGGATGTCGTATGCCAGGTTTTTTCATATCTTGACATATTTTTTTGCTGTAAGTATTTATGAGATTAGTTCCTTGCTAAAAAGCGCGTTGGTAGCTCTGAACCAAATTCTATCATAAATTTGTCTGGGCGTTAATCGATTTGGGTGCTGACAGTTCCTTCAATTGTCGTATTCTGTGGGCTGGCACGTTTCCATAGGCCGTATGAGCCGTAAATGCTTACGAATATTATCACATCACTCGCTTTCATGTGCACAAACCTTCGCTGACCGTCCGGCGCTCTGTCTTTTAATGCGTTGGGGAGGAGACTGTTCACGCTTAGTGGTTCCTATCTCATGTGTTGGCGACTTGAACGAAATTTCATCGCCTTACGTGAATTAAACAAATCCTATATTAGAATACGAACGAACTCGTTAAATAGTGTCTCCATGTCGTGTTCTGTATAGTGTCTATTTTATATTATTCGCGACTGCATTAGGAACGTGCCTATGTTCTATCAACCGTTAATTGTTGGTAATATGAATTTTATTAGATGATTTAGCATGCTTTTTTCAGCATTGTACTATATTTTGAGATGAAATCATATTACTAGCCATGCGAATGTAAGTGTTGAAGTTCTTATCAGTGTGGACCAAGAATTTTATTTAGTGCTCGTACGTAGCTGCTTGCTGCTTCTTCGTCGCATGTACCGATATCTTAAAAGGTTCTTGCTAGTCATTGCAGGTGAGCCAAATAAGGGACTCAAGGCATGAATAAATAGCGTACAATGCGAGTAATGCTGCGTATAAAGCCCAACCAGAAGCTTGCTTCTAATCTTGCAACCCTCGTGCGAAATCAAACCCTTGTAACGGTATAATACCTTCTTGCTATCATACGGAAAGGCTAATGAAATAATCGTCAATGAATAAAATTTTCCTCGACACTACACAATGCGTAACGGGTCAAGCCTAGAGATATGCATCTTTAACTGACGCATTTGTCGGCCTTGCACTGCCTACCGAGCTGGGATGAGCTCGGGAACGTTTCGGACTACGCCGAAAATCATAACCTTCGTTGCTGCTTTCGAATTCTTCAATTTGAACGTGGTCTTCCTGGCTTGTAAATGTATGTATTTCAGTACGTCTCCTTGTACACTTCAACGTAATTGTAGAAAAACTTGTCGAGGGCTGTGATGCTCGATAACTGTACAGTAGAGTTTCTCCACGAGACTTTTTTTAATTACTTCTAAATGTAGGCTTTCCATTAAGTGGACTACAAATTCTGTCGAATATATGATTTGTCACGCGTTAAACCCTACTGTTCTGCCGCTCCATGGTTTCTTTATTACTGATTCGAGGTCGACGAATGCTATCGAACTGCCGTTTGTCCTAGCCAGCTGTTCAATATTGCAAGGAATTGCCCGTCACTTCCAAGTCACTTCGAAGGGACCTAGTCATTCAGAGTAAGGATTCAAATTGTGAGGTTTATTTCTGTTGGTTTGGTTGTCATTTGAATTTATTTGTCACCGTCATTTCTCTGAAACACTTGGTTGTCGCCCATTGCAAGCGATTCCGACAATTTTTGTGCTGTCACTGCAGAAGTTCTCTCTGTCACTATAAGTTATTCAATGAATAAGCAACATAATTCAGGCCTCCCCGCAGTACAGCCATCAGTCACTTGAGAATCCATCCAGCATATGAGCATCACATTAGCAGGATAAGCATCTCGAGGATTAAGGTTTCAGTGTCGCATTGCTGTAATGTGCCAATGCTTATCAATAATCTCATTAATTTAAAATGTAATGTCTGCTAAAGTTGTTCGCGAAGCTTTCTTTTAAACCTGGAATTGCAGTACTCACTATCATGTACTGAAAGTTAGAACTTAGGCTTACTTCGTGGCAAGTTGATTAAGGTTGTCGGCAACCTCCCTTTCTTGCATTGTTCCTTGGGACTTACAAGTTCTAACTTCTAGTGTGCACTGTTGGGGTAAAAAATCTGTGGAATCCGGCGAGGTGTTAGTTGGCTTGTGTCGCGGTGATTACAAATGGAAATAACGTTTCGGGAGTTTTCAGTGTGTAACTCACGTTATATTGGGGAACACTCTGAACTTTATTGTGCCTTTAGTACTGATCCATTGTTGGTATCCCTAGTATAGTCATCCCACTAGGGGGTATATAGTCACTGTGTGGCCTCTTGTGAGGCCTATTAGAATTCCCATGAAAATCAAAGGGAATTTCTCATGTAAATAAGATCTTTGTACATGTTATTTCCACAGAAGATTTTTTTGTCACTGCATATATTTTGTTTTGTAATGTGTATGGCATTTTGCATATGCCGTATTATGTAGGAGCTCATGAGTGGTGACGAAGGCCGTACTCGAAACACTGACGGGAAGGGTTCCTTCCTGCTACTTCTTCATATTCTGCTATTTCAGCTCTCCTGTTCCGTCTATGGAATTCTGATAACTGGGCGACGTACATTAACTTTTCCCTAATACACAGCATCTGACTTTTAGGCTATCGGTGTATTCTTTTTATTCTTTTTTGGTGAGCATTTGTTTGGAGTTGACAAATAGCTGTTATGAGGAAGTGTTGTGGCCTTCTAGCCACGATTACTGACTTTTAATTGTCGAATGTTTTCAAGTAAAGTATTTTAGTTTCTATAACCTTTTATAAAAAAAACAACATGGAAAATGTATTGCAGCAAGCCGAGTTGATTTCTTCACAGTCATAGACTTTGTTGTTCAACAAATTTCGAAAACCAACTTCTGATGTAATAGCTCTTAAGCTTCCGCAGAAACTTCAGTTAAAGACAATTGAATTAATACCTTTCTATTTTGACATTTTCTTGGCACTTGGATGTACGATGGTGTACGAAGCTCGATTGACCCACCCATCAATCGAATATAGAATTAATTATCAATAAATTATCATGTTGTAATATTGTAATGAATGAATTTTTGTCTCGAGTTAGCTTTCAGCCCTTACTCTTTTTGTCGGATCTTTATTTATGTCGTTCAATCTCCAAATAATCTTAAGTTTGCTTTGGACTCCATGGCTAAATTGACAGATGAACATTTTTCAACTAGACGAGCGCTGTTGCCGCACGATTTTTTTGATTTTCAGAGCTGTGGCAAGTTATGAATTAACATCCATAGTCTATCTAATGATTGACGTTTGTTCCAATTTTTCGTACGCCTGATCATTCAAAATAGTCGCTCATGATAATTCCCTCATTTACCTCATAGACGATAATTTAATTTGCTTTACGGCGCGAACACTTGAAAAATAGGCGAATTGATTTTTTACCAGCTATGTCGAGGAATGTCGAGTAAACGTTAGCACTACTTTTCGTTACCAAAACAAATAAAACAATTGACATGAGATATCGATGTAGTCACTCTCTCTGATCTCCTCCTGCTACTAACAACCTGAGTTGACATTCTAGTGCGTCATCATGACACGAATTGTAAAGGATTCTTTTTAGTTTTATTTATGTCAAAGTACTTTGTTTATAGCGTTGGTCTGCCTTAATACCATGTACTTGTGTGTGTCTTGTGTTCACTGATACCAATAATGAAGTTTCTAAGTGTACAGAAGATTTGAGGTGCGCCCGCTCGTGACAAGTCGCTGATGAGTTGAGAGCGCGCGTCCGTGTCCAAAACTTCATGTTTAGCCTTCGAATTTCCTCTGTAAATGAGTGTGAATTATTTTTTTATGAGTTGTGTGAATCATGTATTGTATCTTTGATAACTTCTGCCTCAATATCCGGTGATAAGACAAAACTTCATCATTCGGCATTAATTTTATCTTCTTAGCAACTAGTGGAGGTCAGCTTATAAGAACGCTTTTTACTGCTGTATATGAAGCTTAGTATTTCTAAAAGATACAGAAGTAGGTTCATATTTGGTTTTCATGAATTGTGTGAGTTTGGCCTGTGGTCTTGCCAGGACCTAGAAAGTCTTTCTATTTTTATTGAATGAAACGTTTTCAAGCTGTACGATCTTTATTTATTTCCCCACACTGTAAACCTGTGAAATTTCTCAAGTGGCGTCGAATTTGGTTTAGTCTGTATACATCATATGATGCGTGGTAGCGAGCCGTTACAAAAGTCTGGATCTTGATTCACTTCCAGGGTCATAACGCCTCAAATAGAATAAATTCCTATGACTTGTATTAAAATTATTGCAAAGATCTAGTCAGATGTCCAATATATAGTCTTGATTCTAATATTCTCATGGTCGACAATTCGTTCCATGAGACATTAAACGCGTCTCAAAATATTGTCTTAAAAAATCCTTAGAACATGAAATAATTATCCATGTAAAAACAGAACGAACAATTTTTTACCAGTGTATTTGACATCGCCTCAAGCTTTATAAGATGAAAGAGGTGTATAAGAATAATTTTTATACGCGTATAAGATGAAAGATATGCCTAAGGAAGCAATATGATGACAGTAGCCTGAGTAGAGGTAATGACTTGATGTTCTACGTTAGAGCTAATGCATAAAGCGTGAATGCAGAGATGTACAGGTGGAATGAAAGAGGAACACCTGATGATGGAGTGCTAAGCGCACGAGAAATACTGGAAATAATGCGAGTTTTCTTTGGATGAGGGTGATAATGTGATGTATGAGAGAACGGGAGACGAATGGATTGCAATCAAGGATCTGTCATCAGAGATGACTGCTGCCATGACTGAGAAGGGAAAGCCGTATTTGTATGGAGAATGAAAGAGGTGCGGAGGTTGGTGAGAATGGCCGTTAGGGTATAAAGAAATAAGCTATAATAAAAAAAATATATATATACACATGAAGAAGAAAATAATTATTTATTCGTGGTCCGAGAAATCCCAATATCCAAACAAATTAGGAAATTACAGTGAATAGGGCACAGCACAATAGACCAACAAACTTCCGTCTAGAACTCTATTTTTACCTGTATTCATCCCACACCTCCAGCCTCTGTTCTAATATCGCTCCTACATGAGCATGTTTCCCTCTCCTCCTACTAAAATTTACCAAGACATGACACGTTGCAGCTAGTCGATATGAAAGCCTGAGTGATGTCTGACTACTGAATGTCTTTTGAAGGGTCACCGCAGCTCTAATAGAATGTCCAAATTAAATCAAGATCTTCACAAGTCGCCCTCAAATGGACATTCATACTCGCGTACCTATCATATTCAGGAACACTGAGTACTTTTACGATCGAGTGTTTGTTTGCTAATGGAAACAAATTTGATCTAAAATTCATAGATACTTTGCCTACTTTAGTTCAACTTATACAATTTCAAGTAGTTTGTGTACATATTTTTTAAAATGGCTGATCCATTAAGTTTGTTGCGTCAGTATAATGTTAGCAAAAAAGAAATTATCACAAAGAGCGACAATGTTATATTTGGCGAATTCTCCTGGCCCAAAACGGTTAAAACAAATTACCAAGTTTATGGGTAAGTACTGTCAAGTGTCAAATGAGCAGTTTATTAATATGTTTTAGTTGAAAAATAATTGAAAGTTGGCTAAAGAACAATCAAGAGCCAGTATTCAGTTAAATTGCCTGATTGTGAAATAATGATTTGCCAAATTAGGTAGGCCTATCATCACAGATCAATTCCTGCCAAATTATCATCACACTGATCACAGATCACTTCCTTATTTCTCTACCAATACAACCATCAGATAACTAGTCAGAATATGATTTGTAAGGCTGGATACCATACCCAATTGATGAAGACTAGAAAGCTGTTTTGATAGGGCTAGAAAGATGTGATTTAGCTTTGTTAAGTTAATGTACTAATAGGTCATTTTAATTGCAGGATTACAATTTTTTTACTCGTTACAGAAATTTTGCAGCCTTCTTCAGTTCTTGTGCACTTTTATGAACTATTAAATAGTAGTTAGGCTAGATCATCTAACTTTCTAACAGGAATCATGTAAATTGTTTCAAAATTGGCAGAAAAGATCTACTCATGGCTCTAGAAAAAGATATAGGCCTATTCCATGCCAGTTAATGAAGACTGGCATCTTTAGTTCTGCTGGTGACCTGCTGGTGTGGTTATGGTTATCAGCATGACTGCAATACTGCATGATGAAATATACCGTCAAACGGGGTGAAAAGGGACAAGCTGGGTAAAGAGGGACAGTCCTCTAATATTTTGTAGAAATGTAGTAGCAGCTAAACTAATCAAAATATTGCAAAATTAGAAATAGTAGCCTAAAGTTCAACATTTTTGCTATCTATGCAGCATAAAGTAAGTTGAGAAATACATTTATTACCTCTAAAAAATCCCTGAAAAAAGTGTGAAAAGTGAGATTTTTGATAAGTACCTCTGCTAAGGTCTAGCAGAAAAAATATTTGTCATATTGAAAAATCTTACCTACATAAAAGTTGCAATATTACTTTAGATTAAGTGCATCCAAAAAAAGGGTGTTTTTTTAATTTTATGATATTTGGGATGTAGATTAAGAATCTGAAATCCGTTTTTGGCGGTCAGCATCGGAAATTTTTAATGGAACCTTTTCCTAACTGGACCTAACCTGCAAGGTTTTTGTTGATTGGCTAGGTTTTACCTATGTTTAGAGTCTGTCCAGCGGCCGGAAAAACCTAGCCAATAGGTTTTTTCTATGTTTGGAGTCTGTCCGGCGGCCGGAAAAACCTAGCCAATCAATGAAAACCTTGCAGGTTAGGTCCAGTTAGGAACAGGTTCCATTAAAAATTTCCGATGCCGACCGCCAAAAATGGATTTCAGATTCTTAATCTATACCCCAAAAAACATATAATTAAAAAAAACACCCTTTTTTTTGATGCACTTAATTTAAAGTATTACCAAAGTTGCACACTGGTGTTTGCTTAAAAATGTGATTGACAGAATTTGCATATCTCATTCCAAGAAAAAATGGTGGCCATTTCCTCAAAATGGGGTAATAAGGGACACCCCTAAAACTGCATTTACAGTTGAGGCTTGGTTAGCAAAGGCTCCAGTTAATGAAAAAAATCAATTAATAACAAAGAAATTTTATAACACTTACCTTGCTCAGTGAAAAAAATTTCACTCAACAAAAAATTACTGCATCAGTCATCACAAGATTGTGCATAGAATGTCATAGATAGAATTGAGCACTGGGAAACAAAGAATGAAAAATAATAACCTAAACTATGATTTATTTATTTAAAAATATGATGGTTGTCACAAAAATATTCCTTCCTGTTTCAGGTATGTTTTTTACAATCTTATTTCTTATAGTAAAATCACTCCACTCGATTAAAATTGTGCAAAATTACAAGCCATCCTGTAAGCTTACAGATACAGAATAAATGCTACATGGTTGCTGATATGAAGCTTGCAGTGGACAAGGTCATTTTTAATTCTCAATGGCATGTCCATGGATACGGTACTATCTCATTAATAATACGGTAATTAATGAATATGGTAATATCATATCAATAAAGGAAAAACAATTAAAAATCACAGAAAATGTCATTTATTCTACATTTACGTACATCATATACAATGAAAGAGGAGGACTTCAGAGCAGTGTTAGTAATATATATACACAAGTACACTCTGCATGCTTCAAACGTTTTTAAATTGAGTTTTATCTCAAGTGTCCCTAATTACCCCATTTCCAGATTAATTCAGGAGCCTTTTACATTGCCTCTAGCACCTTACAAATAGCATTTGTATTTTTTTTGGAGATGCCATACAATAGCCCTTGCAAAGACCTTTAAAATGAGCTCAAACTTGTTCATGAAATGTTTCATGGTAAGAAGTTATTAACAAAAAACACTCAAAACCATCCCTTTTTACCCTGTTTGACAGTAACTTATTTAGAAAATTAAGCTGAAGAGTCCTAGAATTGGGTGTAAAAATTATCATTTCACAGATATTAAAATTTTTTTTCCTGTGTTGGTTATTGCCTGTTAAATGAATGTTTATTTTTGTCTACACTTTTCAGAATACTCTGCCCTCTATTCCAGAATTCAGATTGACTAACATGTAAGATTATTGTATATAGGTCCTAGAAATGTCTTATCCAAAATGAGATGATTGATTAGTAAAAGGTTAATTTTTTATTGATCATCTGTTAGCTAATCTTTAGTACCGTCAACCGGGGCTACTCGGCCCGGTTTTGAGCGTTTTTTGTTAATAACTTCTTACGATGAAACATTTCATAAACAAGTTTAGGCTCATTTTATAGCTCTTTGCGAGGGCTATCGAATGGCATTGTCAAAAAAATTCCATATGCTATTCCTAAGGTGCCAGAAGCAAAAACAGAGTGGGCCGAGTAGCCCCGTCGAACTCTGGGTGCAACTTTTATGTAAGTAAAATTTTTTAATACGGCGAATATTTTTTTTGCTACAGACCTTAGCAGAAGTAACTTTTCAAAACAGCGTTTTTCACCATTTTTTCAGGAATTTTTCAAAGCTAGTAAATATCGTATTTTTCGACTCCCTTTATACTACACAGATAGGAAAAATGTTGGCGTTTACGCCATTATTTTTAGTTTTGCAATATTCCAATTAGTTTTGCTACTATAACAGTTTTACGCCGTGTCGGAGGACTGGGCCGAGTTACCCCGCCCGGGCCGAGTAGCCCCGGTTGACGGTATACATCCCTTGCCTACATAAGTCTCATCTAGAATATTGGGCTCAATTTTCCAAAAATTGCTGGTAAAAAAAATTGTATCATAAGATAAGTAAGTTTTTAAAAATAGGTGACAAAAATATCTAAATTTTTTAAAGAAATCAGGAAAGTGCATAAAATTTGGTAAAATTGACTGCAAGTACAGGTGCTTTCATCTCATCCAGAAGTTATTTCTGCCCAATTTTCCAGTTGGAGCATAAGTTATTGGATTGAAAGTATGAATAATGCTTCAGGCATGGAATACCAAAAAAAGGGATGACTTGCACCATTGATGCGGTGACTTGGAATGTTTTGACTTTAAGAAAAGAAAACCCAATAACTCAGAAAGTTCTTGCATTAGAAAAATTGTGTTGATGGCTCCTGAAGTACCATGAGCATTACTGGTTCAACCAACTGTTAAACAACATCTTTTTGAAACTTCAGAATCATATTGAATACTAGTCCAGAATAAAAATTAGTGCAATGTCATTCTTGCAACCAGGATTGCAATAATCCTACTTTTTTCTAAAATGTGATACTCCAAAACACACTTTCCCTATTGATGGGGAAATTTTGTGGCTTCAATGTTGAGATGGAAAATTTCCTACTTGAAACTGAAATCTACTTTTTTTAGATAATGAAACAGTTAATGAAATTTTCAACTTGGATTTACTATACCAACTGCCATCCTTCAACTTCAATGCTTGTGTGTGAAAATGTGTAAAATAAATATGATACGTATATCTTTTGATGTTCATACTTTCCTATAATGGTTGCAGAAATTTTAATTTCTTATTTCCATACGTGACCCGGAGAGGTTTAAAGCATGCAATTTTGTAATCATATATCAAAGTATGATTATTACTCATGTGTTTATATTTCTTCTTTCAGTTCTGGCAAAGATGGAGCATCTAAAGATTATTACACCCTGGAGTGCTTGCTGTTCCTTCTTAAGCACATTTCACTTAACCACCCTGCATATGTGCGCATGGCTGCGGTAAGTATCTATTATTTATTATTCTGTTTAAAATTGCCAGCCGTGACAAAGAAATTAGAATAATATCATTCAACCATAAACTACTAAAGTAATGCAGACATAGAATTAGATTCAAAATTTTACTGTGTCGTAAATTCTGTAATGTGATATGTCTCATTGGAACAAATTGTATACATACATGAACTACAGGAAATGGCAAACATGAAAAAATCTTAGTGCATACTAAACTCCACAATAATGTTCTTAATTTTTTCCAGTCTTCATGAAATGAGGTGATATGTGTCTGATTTTTCCTTATAATTGTTTTGTTTAGAAATTAGTGCATTTTGAATTTTTTTTTATCTTGTATAATATTTTTTATTGCAATAATTTTAGTAAAAAAATACTATTTTATTGAAATCAAATTTTGTATGTTTTTTGCCCTGTGAAGAAATTACTTAAAAAATCTCTACCCTTTTGTCGGGTTTCTAATGAAAAATTTCTATTTCAGGCTGAAAATATTCCTGTTGTACGTCGTCCTGACAGAAAAGAACTCCTGGCCTACCTCAACGGTGAAACATCGACTGCCGCAGCTATAGACAAAAGTGCACCTCTGGAAATACCAACCCAGGTGTGTATGGCAAGAATTTTTGAGGTTTCTTCTGAAGTTTTCTCATCTTGTCAGCTTTATGATTGCTGTTTCTGATACTGGTTGATTGGAGTGCATTACCGGTAGTGTTTCCAAGCTAGCAACGCAATTGGTGTTTTGATGAATATTCATTTGGGATTGAGGATTGTTTCATTTCTATCAGACTCCAGGTATTATTTATTTGTAATTCTTGTCATATTTTGACTACATGTTATTTTTCTTTACAGTAAATAATTATTGTCATCTAATTACATATCCTTGTAATCAGCCTCTTATTGATCTACCGTATATATATATACTTTTTAGCCCTTCAGATCTATTTATTGGAAATTGTTTATAATGATATTTATTGTAGATATGTTTGAGATTGAATAAAATATTCATTTGATTTTTTTAATATTAGGTAAAGCGCACCATAGAAGAGGCTTCTGAGAGCCTTGCAAAAAAGCCCCGTTATGATGATGTTGCTGCCTCCCAAAGATTCAAACAGCATCTTGCCATGCGTCTTGATGCTCCCAAGATCAATTCCATAGTCAGCAACATAGACAGGTACAATTCTAAATTTCGACTGTAATATAAGATGCTGAGTGTATTCAAATTCTTTGTAGATAAATTTTTATTAGTTTTTCATAATAATTTGATTGAATTATTTAACTATGACGATTACTTGGGAAAATTATTTATTTCTTTTTTATCAAGCATTTTTTATCTATACTCGGTACAAGTATTGAAGTTCGAGCTCCTTGTTTAGTGATGATTTTTTACCATTCTGGAGATATTCATTCAAATTTGCAAATTCTGTGTGCCAGGTCACTGTCAGAGGCAATGTCCATTGAAAAAATTGCAGCTATCAAAGCCAAGCGCCTGGCAATGAAGCGTCAGACAATTAAGGAGGATGACGACTTTGGTCTTGATGTGGACTTTGGTATAGATGTCACCAAGGACATCACAAGTAAAGAGCGAGTCTGGCGCCAACGCACCACCATTCTTCAGAGTTCTGGCAAAGTAAAGCAATTACCTTAAACAATCCTAACCCTACTGATAGGTTATAACTACTTTGTAAATTCTATTCTAGTGAGTAAATAAGTGAACATAGACTGGCAGTATTAGAATAACATTCATTTCTACATATTGTTTATAGCTTTGCTTGTTGAAATGCGAGACAAAAAATTGTATGCTGAAACATATCTTCTTAATTGTAAGTTTTTATAAATGCATTAAATACCATTTGTCTATTTTATAATAATTCTAACTTTGTAGTTAGTATATTAGAGATAATCTATGCTATAAAATAAAATGCTGCTTCACTGAACTACCTTTAGACATCTTTGCTGAAAGTTTTTACTTTCTAATTCGGTTCTTAAACAATAAAAGCAACATAAATAGCATCTTCCCTGTACTGCACTAGATTACCAGTTGTCTCCGATAATGCTGTATCTGTTTGCACCTTGAGTTATTCGAGCCATTAAGAGGAAAGCTGATACTATACATATGGTTTCATAACTAATGCTGAATGTGTTTGCAGCAATTTGGGCCTAGCATCTTAGGCCTGCTGAAAAGCATCAAGTTGCGTGAGGAGGGACGGCAGCGGCAGCAGCAGCAGCAGCCTGGCGTGGGCAGCCTTGCAGCAGGCCTCGGAGGCGGCATTGCTGGCCAGCAGCAGCAAAACACGGGATATTCTCGATACGCTCAGGAGAGGTTCAACCCTAAGGAAGGTTCGTGCCGCTTGGTCTTTGCTTGGAGAAATTTAGACAATTCATTGTAGGTAAGTGAAATTTTTTCCTGGTTTGTTTGTATTTATGGCCTGGCTGACTTTGTGAATAATAATAAGATAATTTAGTGGATAAGTGATTGCTATGCATATATATCACTTTTAGGTGTTAATTTTTCTGATTTTTAATTACAACCAATTTTTGTTTTTAAGAATATACCGTATATTGAGCTTAAATGCATAAAATTGTAAATAATTATTGCTAGTTACCCTCGACAATTCTTTGTTAAAATTTCTACATCCAAGAATTATTTTCATGAACAATTTTAGCTCTTCATGCTGAGATTTAGTAAATGAAGTTGACATTGGTTGCAGAAACGGCCGGATTTAAAATCGACACGATGAGCTCTTACCACGGCATGTCCCTGAAGAGCGTGACGGAGGGCGGCAGTGAGGGACGCAAGGCTACAGCTGCCCAGCAGGGCGCCATGCACCCGCCTCAGCAGGCGCTCAGAGTCAGCCCTTAGATACATTATGCACTGAAATATTCCCGATATGAATCTTTGCTTAGATATGGTCTTATCAAGTTCACATCTGATTTCAATGCGATTGCATAGTTTATTAGCCTTTTCAATGATTTGCAAGAGCAGTAATTAAATTTTTATTATTCATGGTCGTTGTTTTAATCTATAGATATTGCCCAACAGTTGTATTTGTGAAATTCCAGTCAATGGTCATCGTATTCATTGTCCTATTCCTATACTATAATTGACTCGATTTTGTAAATTTTATAAACTTTTTTATCTCAGATTGTCATGTTTCCAGGTAGTTCCAGGTGTTTCGTGTTGTAGTTTACAGGTGTTTCCTACCAATTTCAGTAGAATTTAATAAAATTAAAGTTTATTTATTTTGCAGTCGTCTGGTATTGTGAGCAACCCAACGGCGACGCCGCAGAGCGGAGCTGCCTCACCAGCACAGTCCCTGGCGCAACAGAAGCGACCGTCGCGCACTCCCATCATCATCGTCCCGAACAGCAACACCTCACTCATCACGATGCTCAACTGCAAGGATCTCCTGCAAGACATGAAGTCAGTGCCTTCACTTCTACATGACCACCTTCGTTCTTGTATTCTAGTCCATTGCAGTTTTCATTTTTGAAGGGAGTTTTAAGAAGGGAGTTTCTTTACATCTGTTGAAGTTCATAATACAGGATTACCCAAACTTTTTGTAATTGTGTACCGCTTAAAGTTCTTGCATGCGTCGCGTATCACCATGTACCTCCAGATCACTAATATAGTAAATATATTAGCCCCTAAGCATTAAAAGTATATTGATTGTGTTAGGTAATAAATATGCCTTACAGTAAATAAATATGCTTTTGTTGTTCAATGATTAATGCCTCTCGCTAATCCACAGGTTTGTTCCAAACGAGGTGAAGCGGCAACAAGGCACAAAACGCGAGACCGAGATCCTGATCCAGCGAGGCAAGGAGGGAGGGCTGACGGTGCCATACCGCGTCACCGACAATCCTGGCAAGCTCACCAACGCGGAGTGGGACAGAGTCGTGGCAGTCTTCGCCATGGGCCCGGCGTGGCAGTTCAAAGGCTGGCCGTATGACGGCAACCCCGTTGAGATATTCAACCGCAGTTAGTTGTCCTGCAACCTTAAGTTCTCAAATTATTGTTTCGATGAATTTAATTTTTTTTATATATATTCAACTGCTTTGAATTTTAGAGAATGGTTAATGTCTGGACTATAAAGGTCGTGAAATTTCCAGTTTCGTTTATCATCGCTAGTAATCAGTGTTATGAAATACTGTCAAAAGCTCGAATTTATTAATGGTGCTGAAAAAATGTTGTTAACTAATCCATGTTAATTTGGAATAGTTTCATATTTCTGATTTGTAATATTTACAATGCTGGAAATTTTACGAAAAAACTGTTGTGTTTTGTATTAGAATATAAGCCATTGTTTATATTACTAGCTGCTGCAGACCTCAAAGAAAATGAGTAGTTAAGAAGATTTGTAAGACCTAATTATATGCCTGCATTTTATTCTCCCGCAACAGTTTGTGCGTTCCACATCAAGTTTGATGAAACAAAGCTTGACGCGAACATCGCTAAGTGGAGCGTTCACGTCATAAGCCTGAGCCGCATCAAGCGCCATCTTGACCGCGCTGCCTTCCAGCAGTGCTGGGAGAAGCTTGACAGGTACATACTATTATTCTATTGCGAAATACCTTTCACATAGTTTCAATTAATATTGTCTGCGTGCATATCTTAACATTAACCTACCAGTTTCAGCTGGATGACGAGGAATTAATGTACATTTCATGCCATCGAGGGGTTTTGCTGTGCAACTGCTTTCTATTTTCACTAATTTCTAGTGACCATCTCGGTATGTCTTTTTAACCTTGCCGTAAGATTTTTATGGGTTCCTGTTCTCATTTATCATTTTCATTTGAGCTTGAACAATTCTTTTTTTTTTCTCAGTGTGAATGCGTCCCTCTAAAAACCGTCGCAGATAGATATTGATGCATTTTTATTTTCTTATTATAAGTGAAATGTATTGTTAATGTGTTTTTGGGGAAGTGACCTTGTAAAAAACATGCACTCTGCTACATAGCATGAATGACAATATTGATGTTTATTGCCCGCAGGTTTATGATGTTCAACAAGACGCACCTGCGCTGGTGAAGAACCTGCCCCTGGATCCCGTTAATGCAGGCCGAGTTCTGTTCGACGATTGTGCTTGACGTTAATAGAAAAATTCATTAATAACTTCATTTTTTCCAGCGTCATCTTGGTGGTCATTGAGTCTTTGAGTGACGCAGTGTGTAGCACATTATTTGATGTGAAGTACAGGTATTCTAATGAGGTATCCTTGAACTCAAATCTTAGTGAGCGTAAATGATGATAGATTTGATCCAATTATGTATTATGCCGTACAGAAAACTAGCTATTATTATTAATAAAGGTATAAAACTTCAGAATATCTGGATACTTATCCGTGGTCATGGGAAAAGTTTATAAAAGGATGATGAAATTGTTTTTTCTTTATATTGTGAGGACTGAGAGGAATGCGCCTGATGCTCTAACTAAGATGGAGTAAATACCCGTGCTAGTCTGAACTCCCGTCATGACTTTGCGCGGCAGTTTACGCAGTACGATTCTATGCTTGTTTAATGCTTAAGATTATACGTTACTCTAGATAAATTACGCAGAGAGTTGTAATGTACTCAAACATGACATCATTATTCTATTGCTTCATTTAATTTAGTGATTTAGCGCTTATCCTCGTGACTCGAACGCTACCGCCAATGGCATGCAAGGCCTTCATAATAAATTAAAATTTTTGTCTGTGGTAGGAAATAGTGTCTGGCGTATCGTGGTGCTGTGTTCCTGCAAAACTCTATTTAAAAGTTTTCTATATATTATATGCTGTACAAAAACAGGTATAAAAAAAAAATTAGAGTGTCGCGTGAGTTGCCGTGCGAACTACCACCAGCTGTTGGTGCCCATAGCATCCTGGGAACCACCACACGCTCGTACGTGTTTACGCCAGATATTGCGATTAGGACTTGTAATGTTTTCATCAGTTTTCAACTGTGAGGCACTGAATTTGGACACTAGGACTTCAGTCTTTAACAGTATTGTCTCTTAATGGGCAGATGTAATCAAGAAATAACCTTTGAATAACGAGACTTGCTATTTTTCTGTTGAACTTCCTAATGAGTTGCCTTATGCTGCTCATTATATCTTAGGCAAGTGGCGAATTGTTTTGATTTTTTCCTTTATTGTGTGATAAAGATTTATGCACACAGTCATTGTAGAGGATTCGACGCATAATGAAGGAATTTGTATTATTGCGTAAATGAATATTTGTATTATCTAGTACGTATCGTTTGAGTGGCTGAGTATTCTTGTCTGTTATTGTAAATTTCTTGCTTGTCTCAACGAGAATACAAATGAAATGAGTGCAAGACCATTCGTGAATATTTATTTTTAAATATACTTATTGATTATTGATATTCCGAATATATCGAGTTCGTATCGAAGATGAGCTCATCTGATGCCTAATACTCTCTACAGCTTCTTGTATGGCCATGTTTGTTCTTAGGTTTGTCTAATTCATTTTTTTTTACAGGAGAGTAACCGTGTACATGTGTGTAAATAAAGTATTCTGCGAACTAACGTTTATGGTTTCTTAAATGGTAGTTTTTGTTAAAGTATATGTATAGATTATATACATGTTCTGGATTCGGATTGGCATGGAGCTGACTTCATTTTCTGTTCGTCTTACGGTGATTAATCTTTATATACCTATGTGGTCGCACGTTTTCGAATATCTGCGGTAGAACTTCCGTATCACGGCTGAGCAAAGTCTTTGGTCAAGCCATTACGGATCTGAGTACAATATTTGGGTTTAAAACACTCTATTGGTATAATTGATCTCCTTACGTATGGAATTCATTAGATGTGGAGGTCCTGTTTAGGTTCATAATATTTCTGAATTAAACTCGAACTTCCTTATTTCATGTAAAACCGAAATTGCAAACGCTAATTTGAAAAATTAAGTATGCAAGTTCTTGTTGGAAAGTGACGCCCAGTTCTCTTTTCAAATTAAAGAGAAGAGGGATGTTATTTCTAGGCCGCCAAATACTTTTTATCAACTTTGTTGCGCTGACTGAGACAATAGGCGTTATCCGTAGCCCTAGTAGGGCGATCAAGGTGAAGGAGCATGACTTCCTCCCGTGCGGTCGGAGATGGAAGGGCAGACAGGACCCTGCTTTTTTTCTGAGGTATCTCCGTTGTGGGAGATCAACCTTGCATGAGTCCGCTTAGCCTCCCCGTATGAACCAGCAGACAAGTTGCGCTGGTAGCGAGCCACAAGGCGGACTTCTGGACGACTTGCTGTCGTGGAGTGAGAAGTCTGGGGTACTACCTGATTACGGCTATGTAGTACAGAAATCATTTTGTTTGTCAGAATTATGCTCGTCAGAATAAAAGTTCACTCACATGTACATTTCCCGAGGATTTAGCCCCGCCACTGACCTTGAACCTAGGGACGCTCCTGGTGGGAGGTTCCGAGTGACTTCTACTCTCCGAGTGCGGTCATCCCCTCCGCTCCACTGATCACTTCTACTGCTCGTCTTCCACCGCGGCCCTCTCCTTCCGATCGCTGTGGAACAGTCCTGCACGGCTGCGGCTTCCCATTATTTGCCCATCTTCCTCATTTATCGGACGCTTTCTCGAACCACCTCCTAACTCTCCCCGGTGTATTTAAATGTCAACACTATGACAGAAGCTACTCTGCTAATCAATATTAACGGTAGGACGAGCACGTCAAGTTACTTTCATATTCAACACGATTGTGAGCGCAAAATATCATTTAGCCGTCTGAAAAGACGAGAGGTAATGTTGTTTGTACACCGGTTCTAGGATGAATGCGCCAGATAAATAAGGTACATATATGACATAAAAAACTTGGTACTTTGAATTATTTGGATTGTACTATTAGGTTATAGATTTGAATTATGTGCTTTAAATGATTGTCATTGTTTTATTATAATGTATAATTGCTTCACCTAAGTAATTGATCAAGTGGTTTGGTGGTGAGAAAGCGTCAGACTATCGACTTTTGCTCGTACATGCGAGTAATCTTTCGACTTCTTGGTTAGTTGCTCCGCACCACGGTAAAAATCGGTGAAACCCGCAATTATAATCTTTCACAATTTATTCTGATTAGCTTATTATTATGCGATTGTTTACATTTTAGCAAATTTAATTCAGATAGACAAATTTTTACTCGTACGTTTTTTTACTCTGGAAATCACAGTAGTTTGTAGTCAAACATGATTAAAATTTGAATTATTCTGAAAACGTAAAATGCAAGTTAATTGATGTTTTTTCATTATTTGTTAAAATACTTTTCCCTCGTAAAGAAAATGTTTATTTTCATTAACTCTGAAGTGACCGTTTCGTTTTGTTGTCATAGCAACAGCAATGATGTTTGTTTTTATGCACTGCTTCTCAGCATTCTGTTTTACAAACCTTGCTACATGACCAATTCAATTGTCTGGATGTTGGGTGCATGCTGCATATAAGGTACTTGGGCCATTGAGCCCCTTTGCACGGTGCATAGTCTTTCATCAAAAGAGTGACAGAGACCAGGCTGGGCAGTGCACAAGCACTGGAAGCCTCCAAAACCAACTATAAAAAAAATTCTGTTTTAATTTCCGGTAGATCTGCATCTCCGTATTCTGTTTTACTTTCCGTTATATTGTATTTCTGTATTCTGTTTTACTTTGAGGTAGATTTTTTGTCCTTTCACAGGTTCATGTTCATCATCTAGCGGCAAGTTGTGCAGAAGCTATGATTAAGCAATTGAAATCTAAAATTATTGTTGTTTTTGCAACTTTGCCCAAGGCTAATGTGTTGTCTGTTGTGCAAATTTCGAAAATAAAATAGGCTACCAGTTGAACTGTTGAGTTAAAGTAAAAATGTTGGACAAAAATAGATAAAACAAAAACCTTGTTTGTCTTGCCAGAAATCCAGTCAGTTGCAAAGTTGCATGCTGGCAAGCATTTTTTTTTTTTTTGCATCACTCACTTCCAGATGCATACTTGAATTTATATTTCATGTTCACATTTTAGTGTTTTTTTATACTTTGAAGTTTGAAATTGAATGAACTTACAATGCTTTACCAGTTTAGGTTAAGCACTAAGCAGCCTAAGCAGGTACCATCAACCGGGGCTACTTGGGACTTGTGGGGTAACTTGGGACAGTCCTCAGACACGGCGTAAATCTGTTTTAGTAGCAAAACTAATTTTAATATTGCAAAACTAAATATAGTGGCATAAACATCAACATTTTTCCTATCTATGTAGTATAAAGGAAGTCAAAAAATACTACATTTACTAGCTTTGAAAAATTCCTGAAAAAAATGGTGAAAAACACTATTTTGAAAAGTTACTTCTGCTAAGGTCTGTAGTAAAAAAAATATTTGCCATATTAAAAAATTTTACTTACATAAAAGTTGCACCCAGCCAGGGCCAGCCTCCAGGTGTTGGCTTAAAAACTTCATTTGCAGAATTTACATACCTCAATCCCCAAAAAAATGGCAGCCATTTCTGCATGGCGGGGCTACTCGGGACAACCTACATCATCTTCTACCTCTACATCCTACCTCATCTACTTCTACCTCTACATCATCTACAATGAAAGAGGAGGACTTCAGAGTACTGTTAGTAATGGATGAGAACACTCTGCATGCTTCAAATATTTTAAAATGAAGTTTTATTGCATGTGTCCCGAGTAGCCCCGTTCGACGGGGCTACTCGGGACACTTTTTGGTATTATTGCAGATTAACTACATCCAAAAAAAAGGGTGTTTTTTTTTAATTATATGTTTTTTGGGGTGTAGATTACGAATCTGAAATCCATTTTTGGCGGTCGGCATCGGAAAACCGATTTTTTGCAATATGTAAGTTACGTAACCCCCATGTTAGTAAGTCGCGAAAAAAATCGGTTTTCCGATGCCGACCGCCAAAAATGGATTTCAGATTCGTAATCTACACCCCAAAAAACATATAATTAAAAAAAAACACCCTTTTTTTTGGATGTAGTTAATCTGCAATAATACCCACTTTTTTTTCCTTCTGGCAGCTTACAAATAGCATATGGAATTTTTTTAAAGATGCCATTTGATAGCCCTCGCAAAGAGCTATAAAATGAGCCTAAACTTGTTTATGAAATGTTTCATGGTAAGAAGTTATTAACAAAAAGCGCTAAAAACCATCCCGAGTAGCCCCGGTTGACGGTACTGACTAAAACCTGGACCTAGAGGCCAGACTGCATAGTGACAAACCAGGCCATAAAGTAGGGCCTTTCAGCTTGAGATATTGGCATCATTTCAAGCTCTCTATCAGCCACCTGGATCTTAAACTGGCATCCATGGCCAATCATAAACTATGGCTCAGGCATCCATGACCCATGATGACAGATCATTAACTATGGATCTCTTGATCAGCCCTGCCATCACCACGCGCATCTTCAGCTTGTTTGATTGCTTGTATCTGTCACTCGATTATAATGTGCATACGTCTGGTGCGCCCAATACTACTGCTGAAAAAACTCATTGCCATTTCCAGAATTTGTTGAAAGCAAATGATGCCTCAATACGTTCTAATGCAATCTTATGAGTTCTAATGCTATCTATTGCATTCTAAGGCAATCTACTGCATTCTATTGCTATCACTATCTATTGCATTCTAACGCGATCTGTTGTGTTCAAACGTGATCTGTTGCATTCTAACGCGATTTAACGCTATCTTTTGCGTTCTAACGCAATATAACGCGATCTATTGCGTTCTAACGCTATCTATTGCGTTCTAATGCGATCTATTGCGTTCTAACGCGATGTAATGCTATCTATTACATTCTAGCGCGATCTATTGCATTCTAACGCGATCTGTTGCGTTCTAACGCGATCTATTGCATTCTAACGCGATCTATTGCGTTCTAACGCGATGTAACGCGATGTATTGCATTCTAACGCGATCTATTGCATTCTAATGCGATCTATTGCAGTCTAACGCGATCTATTGCAGTCTAACGCGATCTATTGCAGTCTAACGCGATCTATTGCAGTCTAACGTGATCTATTGCAGTCCAACGCGATCTATTGCAGTCCAACGCGATCTATTGCAGTCCAACGCGATCTATTGCATTCTAACGAGATGTAACGCGATCTATCTCGTTCTAATGCAATCTATTTCGTTCTAGCGCGATCTATTGCGTTCTAATGTAACCTAAATCAATCTATAGCAATCTAATGTAGCCTAATGCACTCTAATACCTTCTAATTCAGTCTCATGCAATCTAATGTAACCTAATGCAATCTATTATATCCTAATTCAATCTATTGTACCGTAACCTAATGCAATGTAATGTAATCTAATGTAACCTAATGAAATCTTATGCCTAACCTTGTAACCTAGTTCAATTTAATGCATTCTAGCATTATAATGAAATCTAGTGCATTCAAATAAAAACTTGATGCATTCTAATACTTTCTAATTCAATCTATTCAATTTTAATGAATTAGGTTGGCATGAATTGGGCTGGAATGACTTGATTTGGGTTGAATTGAATTAGGTTAAATTAAATTATGTTGGATTGAATTGGGTTGGGTTGAATTGAGTTGGGTGTGGTTGAATTAGATTGAATCAAATTGGAATGAGTTGGATAGGTTTTAGTTGAATATAGTTTGAATGGGTTGAGTTTAGTTGAATTTTGGTTAAATTGAGTTAGGTGGGGGTTGAATTTGGTTGGATTGAATTGGGTTGGGCTTGATTAGATTGGGTTGAATTGAATTTGGTTAGGATGAATTGGGCTGGGTTGCATTGGTAATGATTATTGGGTTGATTTGAATTGGTATCAATTGGGTTGGGTTGAATTGGCTTGGGTTGAATTGGTATCAATTGGGTTGGGTTGAATTGGTTAGGATTGCATTGGGTTGGGTTTGATTGAATTGGTTTGGGTTGGGTTGGGTTGAATTGGGTTTGGTTGCATTGGGTTCAGTTGAATTTCATTAGGTTCCATTAGATTGCATTACATTGCATTAGGTTACATTACATTGCATTAGGTTACATTAGATTGCATGAGATTTAATTAGAAGGTATTAGATTGCATTAGGTTACATCAGATTGCAGTAGTATCGAAGAATATCCAACTTATTCAGGTCCCGGGCCAGATTAGGGCTAATCTAAATTAGGGCTAAGGCCTAATTTAAATTAGCGCTAATCTAAATTAGACTAATCTAAGTGAAGGGGAGTTCAGCCTGGAGACCTTCAAGAGACAACTGGACGTGTTCCTGGGCACAATCCCTGATCGACCTCCCCTGCACCACTACCGACGATGAGAAGCAAGCAACAGCATCGTGCATCAGGTGGCCCAAATGAGGGCGGACGCGCAATAATCAGAGGTAGCGATCAATCGTGGCCTGGGACTGCTACGTTCCGAACAAATACTAAGGAAACTAAGGTTGGGTTGTGTTTGGTTGCATTGGGTTGGGTTCAGTTAGATTAGGTTGAGTTGAATTCGGTTGGGATGAATTGGGTTAGCTTGGTTTGGGTTGCACTGGGTTGGGATAGGTGACCTAGGTTTGGATTTGGTACCTATGTGTTATGGCGCGGAGTTCAGGTGGCTAGACTAATGATGTAGTCTGTTTATTTAAAATGATTTATCACAAGCTGCTTTGTTATCCATCGTCAGTGCCGTGAGGCTCTCTCAACGTAAGCGCTCGAATATACGCACTCAGAACCATCAGAATTGCACGCTACAGCATGTAGTTTAGGTAGCTCAGAGCGCGTATGCTTGGTTGCCCAAATTTGTGCTCTCACAATCATCCAAACTGCGCCCTACAGCGCGTATGTTTGGGTGCTCAACTACGGTATACACTCTCACAGCCATCAGAACTGCGCGCTATAGCGCGTATGTTTGGGTGCTCAACTATACACTCTCACAGCCATCAGAACTGTGCGCTACAGTGCGTATTTCAGGTGGCTATGGTGCTCAATATGGTGGCTATACTTTGGTGCTCAAATGTAGCTCTCACAGCCATCGTAATTACGCGCTACGACGCTACGACACGTAGTTCCGATCGTAGCGTGTAGATTAATATGGCTTATCGGCCATATTGATTGTAAATCGCGATTCATGGAAAGCATAATTGGCGACTGGCGTCCAGTGGCATCCACCTCGGCGTCTTTGGTGCAGGAAATCGGCGTCCTCGACCTATGTTGTGCTTCGCTTTACAGTCTGGGTGACAAACCAGAGATTTTTAGAATCGGTTCATTTTTAATTTCCTCATCTACTGAAGATTTGAAAAAAAATTTGTATGACAATGCTGGTAGTTTTGTATGATAATCATTATCATACAAAACAATTTTGTATGATAATGCTTTACCATCTCTGCTTAGCCTATAGTAGCAAAGCAGAGATGGTAAATTTGTTTTCTTAAATTTTCTTATCTGGATGGTATTTGGCTACAAATTGATTAGGGCCTTCAATTCTCTTCAAAAAGAGAATCAAGGTTACCTGTTAACCAGCAATTCTTTATAGGTGCCGTTTCAAGGTCAGGAGGGATGAAAAACTTGAAAAGAGGCTACCTTAAATGAAGGTCTTCCTGGCTCTATAAGCTGGCATGAAGCCAGAAACTAATTTAGTGGTTAAAATTTTGCAGTGCATGTAAGGGAGAACAAATTAAACAAAATTATGTATAATAAAAAATTGAAGTGAAAATGGCTTGTGACTTCAGTTTTAAATCCTTGTGACTTATTTATGCAGTATGAAACTTGTCTTATTCCTTTTAGGAGGATGTGACCTCATTCTTATGTCTACATGAAATGTGTTGAAGATATGATTTTTATAAATTGATTCAACTAGTTTCTCCAATTTCAGTTATTATTGGGAAATTTATTTACATCCATTCATAATGATTTTCTGGATACCTGTGACCTTGATACTATGGGTTGCTTCAATTATCAAAGCACAGTCTGACTTCCTGCCGGTTGTGCTGTGGCATGGAATGGGTAAGTTGATGGCTCATATGAGTTAATGGCACTTGAGTAGATGGTATTAAATAGCAATTTTTCATTTCAGTTAATTATCTTCAGTCAAGCTTGTGAACAGTACCGGTATCAATAAAAAATCCATAAAATACATGGATATTGATGATAAAAAATCAAAAATCCAATAAAGTAAATTTAAAAAAAGTTTTATGAGAAAAGACTTGGCTGCAGATGAATTTTTTGTTGTTTGATATTGGCATTATATTTTCAAAGCATGTCAAGAAAAATTAAATAAATCACTTCTTGATTACCTACTGCATTATTTAATAACTTTTTTAATGTCTTTCACTTTTCCAGGTGATACATGCTGCTATCCTTTCAGCATGGGCCATGTCAAAAACCTTATTCAACAACAACACAATGGCACCTATGTTTATAGCATCATGATAGGTGACAGCATTATTTCTGTAAGTTGAATGTTGGTCACTTCATCAAGCCATTTATTGTGATAGAACCCAAATTGTGTTTGCCTTACAGCTCTCCAGGCAGAAGTCAAGCTATGAGACTACAAGGGTTCATGGCCTAGACCAATAATTTTTGTTCCGATATCAATAATATTATTTTTCTTGACATCTGACATACAATTTAGAGCACTGATATACTGAATATCTTAATTAGCTTACTATTTATTCTAAAAAATTTATCTTGGGAGTATAAGAGGTTCATATTGAACTACAGCAATCCCTTGATTAGCACGGTTTTGAATACCGCGGTTTTGATTAACGCGGAAAAAAAATTTGCGACCTACCCTTAATCTACGCGGTGCCAGTTTCGATTAGTGCGACTTTTTTTTCACAACGCATCATTTTCCCGCCTCTAGCCAGAGGTGTTACATTCGTAACAAAAGTGTTACTTTTTGCTTATTAGATCTTATGTTGTTACTTATGTTACGACTTTTGGAAAAATTCTTCAAATGTTGTTACTTTATGAATTTCAGCCAATAATTCTTTAAATAAGGTCCCGTTCCGTAGGCACTCGTGCTGACTAAAGAGTCGGTTTAACCGCGCCATGTCTCGTTCATAACTCTAATGATCGAGTTCGGCAACGTTCGCCGGTAAGTGCGCCATGCCGGTGCTCTAGCCCTTTAAGCCATGGTGTGACGAATTCGTCACACAGAAAATAAAAGCTTCTACCGAGAGTAATTATATGTTTGGAGTCTAGCCGCGAGTGTGATGGTAGCGTCACATGTTGTGAACTCGTTCGAACGACGTTCGATGGAGTAGGCGCGTCGCTACTGCCAGTTTAACACAAAGACTGCGCGTGATCTGAAAAGTAATTCAGATTGTTTTTTCACTTTCGAAACATAATTCAGTGCGTAAAGGGCTAGTTACTCGTTAGCCTTCAACTGGTCAAGATCGCTGCCATATCTACTGCTCACTTTTATCAAACTACATAATTTTCCTTTCCTTTGCTATTTTTGAGGATTCATTATAATTATTCCCATATATTCTTAAGTTTGATTAGCGCGGTTTTGCTTAACACGGTAAAACTCGGGGATTTATTAACCGCGTTAATCAAGGGATTGCTACTGTATTAAAATGTTCTTTGTTTCTCCAGAAATTAATGATTGCAATGATAATGGAGCTGAAAGTTGATGGGAAATGTTAATAAATTTCATTAATATAATTATCATCCAGCCCACATTAGTCTTTAAAGAATTCATTCTGCTCTTTGATTTTTTTACAGAACAGTAACCTCAACTAGCTAACAAAGGTTGATATGCTGGGGGAAATTGGTTAAGAACAATAGTGGCAAAGATTCACAATCAGATGGCAAGCAGTCTTGTCATCACATATAGGTCCTTTACAGCTAGAACAGGTCATCTGTTCTGCCTTTTTTGACATGCCATACTCATTCATAGACAATTGTACATTTAATTTGAAGAGCTTCTAACTAGAATCGGGCTTTTCTACTCCTACAGGCTGTGGAGTATTTGGAAATGTTAGGAAAATGCTAGGAAATGTTAGAAAATTTTCAAGAGATTCTTCTCAATTCAACATTATGTAAATTCTCATTCAATATTAAAATATAAATTATTCATGTTGATATAGAAGTATGGTATAGAAGGATACTAAGGATATAGAAGTATGGTGACCAAGTTAATTCAGCTATTCAATTAAGGTTAAGGCATAAAGTTTTATGTAATGAAAATTTTCATTTTTGTTTCTGTTATTCCTTAAGAAATGTAGATTACTAGGTAGGCTATGAATGTTTATAATAGAAATTAGTAGGATAGTAGAAATCAAACATATGGTTCAAATTACTAGATGGAGGCCTGTAGCACTATTTAGTGTAAGGGCTTCAGACATGGTGTAGTCATTTGTTTTGTGTAAGTATTAGTGAAATGCCTTTTGATTCAATATTCCATTAATAATTTTTTTGCAAAATTCTGGGCCAAACCTAATAAGCAGGGTTGTGCATCATTTAAAATCTGGCATTTATGTGTGTTGACACATAGAGGTAGAGTAGCTTAGGGTTCTTCTTCTTCTGTAAATCCCTTATTAGTTATAACTGAAGAATGCTTGTATCATTGTTAACATTATCAAATTAAATTGATTCTTTGAATATTTACTTTGCTTTTTCATCAGCCAAGTTAAGATAATCATATTGTATGAATTGCCATCTGACTTGATTTGTATTAAGAATAAAAGAGAATTTCTTAATGTGAGCAGGATGCAGAACAGGCTTTCCTTGGCAATGCCAATGATCAAGTAGCAGAAGTTTGTGATAAGCTGCAAGCAGACCCAGAGCTTGTTAAGGGGACCGTCTAACCTAAAATTTTCAATTTAGGCGTTTTCCACTTTTTGGGCTCATCTTAAAGCTCACTTTTCAACGCATTCAACGGTACCAGAATCATCCCTGTGCGTCAAAAAATGATTTCGTGACAGCTTCCCAAAGAAGGGCAGTTTTTAGGCCCTTTAAGAAATGTTGTTTTCTATCAATTTTTTCGAAAAATTCATAGAAGTAAAATGTTTTTATTTTTACATTTTACGTTTGAATGTGAAGTTTCATGATGATCGGATAATAACTTTAGGAGTTATAGGCTATCTCCAATTTAGGTTAGACCGTCCCCTTAATGGATACCATGCCATAGGCTTCTCCCAAGGAGGGCAGTTCCTGTGAGTACTTCAGTGTTGCATTAAATTAATGTCCAATCTAGAACTTTCATGTGCATTTATTGATTTGTTTGCAGACATGTTTTTTTTTCATTTTGATGTATTTTAAATACCAAAGAAAAAATTTTTACATACCAGCAATAATACTTGTTTATTAATTTTATCAATGGTCAATTTCTCATAGCTCAGATATTTTTTGCTGCATTATGATATTCCATTCAACTTTAGTTTTTGAATCCAGAGAAATTCTCACCAGCCAGCATATATACATCTGAAAATCTTCTCAATATGTTGCAAAGTGAAGGAAAATCCTGTAAAATTGCTGCATGAAGTGCACTGAACATGATAATATGAAAATGTAGGCCACTCCAAGCCAATATACATTGGATTTCAAGTATCATATGCAAAATTTATCTTATTATTAAGCTTATTATTTATCTCTTTCATTTGATAGATTGATTTATCATTCTTATTTCTATGCCTTAATATTTACAAGCCGTGCTGTGGCTCAGCGTTGCCCCAGTCCTCCTATGGTCAATTTTGCAACNATCGAACGGCCACTATATTCTTAGCCCATTTTTCTATAGGCTATATTTGTTGAGCCTTGCAGCCTGTGCGTGACCACTAATCTAAAGCCCAAAAATATTAGGTATGTCAATGTTTTTGTTTATAATCGTAATTCTTGATGCCATGTTTTCCAGACGATAAACGAGAGTTACAAGCAGAACCTGTTGGCGCTGGAGAACCTGATTCTGGTGCTGTTCCTGCAGGATATAACCGTCATTCCCCGAGAAAGTTCGTGGTTTGGTTTTTACAAACCTGGTCAGGACATTGAACTACAAACGCTTCAGGAGTCCGTTCTCTATACCGAGGTTTGCACTTGTATAGGTACGGTATCTTTTGAGTTACTTTATGGGGCATGTAAGCAGTGTGGAATTCTAGAGGGATATTAAATTAACCAGTACACATAGAATATTGGAAAGCAGGACCTGAAAGCTTGGAAAGGCCAGGAACTTTACACTTTCAGTCAATTATGTACATATCCTATCTCAGAAATTCAAGAGTGATAGTCTTAGAAATTCAAGAGTGATAGTCTTACATGATGTAAGACTATCACTCTTGAATTTCTGAGACTTTTTACAATTGTTCTTCGATTTGTCACTATCAGTATTCTAGGGATGTTTTTATTTTTGGAACCTTCAATATTCATTTCTCAGGTGTTGTTGTATTTTTATAATCAACATATCTCCAAATATATACCCCTATTTCGGTACTGATTTAAATGCACCGAATCACTCGAGTCTCATCCATGCAGGATCGCCTGGGCCTGAAGGCGCTGGATGAGGCCGGCAAGCTGCACTTCCTAACATGCGATGGCGCTCACATGCAGTTCACGGACGAATGGTTCATCGAGACCATCCTTCCATTCCTCACTTAGACCATTCTTCCACTGTAGGAAAAAGTTACATAATCTGGTAAAATGCGCCCAAGGCTAAATTGATTTAAACTCGGAATAGGTAATGGATTTCCAAACTGATTTACTTCATAAGGAAAACATTTGCTACGCATTTCATGCTTTGTATTACGGTTTCTGTTAATGCTTCGATGAAACGATGAAAAGAGGTCACGTTTGAAGAACCCCATTTATATACAATATTATTGTGCAAAATATTGAATAGTAATGAAGCATTGTTGAATTGACCAGAAGATTGTGAGAATGTGCAGTTTCAGTGACTGTTGAAATGTAGCTAAACATTACTATCTACTATGGAGCTGATCACCAATTGTAAACTATTTACTATCGTTTCTGTACCTCATTGTGGCAGTGGTCAACATGTTGGGGATTTTTTATATTATGTAGTGGCTATGTGTACGATTTCACGCCAATTATAATTTTATAATGAAGCTTTTAAATTCACTAAATTTTTTTTTCATAGAATTGTGAACTTTCTTGAGCTATGCACTTATTGCGCAGTAGTGTTCTGTAGCAGGGCTGTCAAGTGGTCAACTGCTGAGTACCTTGTTGAAAGGCAATAATTTGTTGTTCATTCCTCATGAGAAGAGACAACTGAGAGTCGGAGACTAAATAAACAGTCATAAGTTCTCTTATTGTATACAGGGAGGAATTTGTCGAGATCACAGGTCATAGCAATCATAAAAGTAGTTGTGGAAAAGTATTCGTTTATATAAAACTAAATTTTGTTTGTGTAACTTCTAATTGCAAATTGATGAATAATTTTCAAAAAGAACTTTTGATTGCAATTGCTAAGGATTCATGACAACGAACGCAATGATGTCAAATAATTCCACGTGGATGCAGAACTATATTCCAGTTGGTCCAAAAATTCTGCATTATTTGTCGAAAATTATTAGCTAGCGTAACTTCATGAGATACATTCATTCTACACATTCAATAACCATGCAATAATAATGTATCATGTACCATGTAACCTTTCTCAGTGTTCCTTCTAGTTCTTGACGTCTCGGAGCATTAATAATTAATTTCCTTCACTCCTGTGCTGTCGCTGTTGTGTTGCAATGCGAGGCATTTTAAGCATCTCAAATATTTTTTTTACTTATGCAGTCTATGATTGATATTGTATCTCCAAGTTACTATTTTAAATAATTAGTATTTAATTTTACGATACTTAAAATGTTGTTCTTGAGACAACTGAGGGTAAATTTTATCGTTTATGTTTAACAAATGACTATACGTATAATATATAAAACTATATAAAGTTTCTCTATTATTGGATTCAGTATTTAAAGCTATCGCTTGTCCCTCCACGATTTTTACTTTTTCAATGGTTATATACGAGTAAGTTGTTTAGTAAGTTTTCCTAACCTTATCACCTGCCGCTACGTGCAGGCTGGAGGAAAAATATCTGTGAATCTCGAAGCCAACGCAGCCTTTGGCAGTCACCCCTGCAGTCTGCAATGGTGATTAGGAGACTGCAACGCTCAGTATAGAAATGTTACGTATTACTTCTTTAGCTATTTGGGGAAATTATGTCACGAGATTAATTACGTTATTTTAGAAAATTCAGCTTCGTTTTATGGCTCAAAAATACTCGTAACCCTAATCAATTGTAGGATGAAAATATATATTTTGTTACGCATTGCAAACGTAAAAATGTTTATTTGGCCTATGAGAAAGGTCAAACATTTTCTCACGAAATTTTTAAAACAATATTTTACTTGAAATTTACCGAAATTTATACATGAATAACAAAAGTGTCCTTTCAAAGAAAAGCACATAATTTCGATGCGTCCATCTTGTAACCCATAAATATTTATTTTAAATATGAAAGCTCTTCCATTTGTTGTAAGCCCTTTTACTTGGCGTCGTCTACTTTGCATTTACGTCCACATACCCCGCCCTCTTCTTGTGAATTCTGCCGGGGTATGACTCTTCTCGTGAGGCAGTAAACTCTACAGACTCCAGCTGTCAGTAAACCCTCGCAGACTCCAGCAGTCAGTAAACTCTCTCAGACTCCAGTGTTCAGTAAACCTTCCTCGACTCACTTACACTCCCAGATTTCAGCTGACTCAGTTACCCTTCCAGACTCCAGCAGATTTAGTTATCCTCCAGAATTCCAGCTAAATCTTTTATCCTCCCAGACTTTAGCAAACTCTGTTACCCTCTCAGACGCAAGCTGGCCCGTAATGCTCCGCATTTTCCCTCCCATACTTGCCGGCTGCAGTAAGGAATCCGGCGTATTTTGGTGCTGCGCATCTACAAAATTTTATTTTAAAAATGAACTTCATGTAATATGCAGCATTAGAATTTGCTTAAAAATCATTCGAGTGTCGTGGGAGTTGCCGGGTGAATTGTTGCCAGCTGTTGGCGTCCGTTGCATCCTGGGAACCACCACACGTTCGTACGTGTTTACGCCAGATATTGCGATTAGGGCTTGTGATGTTTTCATCAGTTTTTCAGCTGTGAGGCACTGAATTTGGACACGAGGACATCAGTCCTTGACAGTATTGTCTCTTAATGGGCAGATGTACTCAAGGAACAACAATTATTAAGACACGTTTGTTCTGAACTCAGGACTTCGTTGCTGTGAATTCCTAGATTTTTCTCTGGAAATGCTTTTCGGAGATTTGAAAGAGATTTCTCGGATGTTGAGATACCTGTCTCCAAGCTTTGACACATACAACGGCGAACCTAAAATGTCTCCCAAACTAATGAACGTATCCCGATGAAACTTTGCACGTGTATTCAGTAGAACCTAGTCGTGATCTTTAGGTCATGATAGGTATATACATCTCGACTTCATTCGTGACTTTCTACCTGCCAAATCAGTATAGGGAGCAATCTAATATTTCAAAGAACATTTTAGTGATATGAGATTTCTGCTGATGCATTAAAATTCCTGCTAATTATAACTTAATTTCTTTCTATATGAGTGCGAATAATGTATTTTGTGAACTAGTTCACGCGGATTTTGCACAATAACTGGTAGACAGGCTATGATTTGACTATTTCACTATTTTCATTTGAATTTTGCGCCTACAAATACAAATTAAAGACAATATTTCCGATAAATCATAAATACCTCATACTGAAAGTAAGTCTTTTCTTTACGTCAGGTTTCAAGTGACCGTTTTGTATAGTTGTCATAGTAACCATCAAATTCGAAGTTGTTTGGAGTTGCCTTAGAGGTTGAGCAGGATACCTACCTGTTTCAGGCTGTTTGAGCTGAGGTGAGCGGGTGAAGGAATCATGTACGTAAATAAACAATTTTCTAAAATTACGTACTCAGTGCTTTTTGTGTAGAAGTTTGATCATTAATAGCTTCATTGGTTGGATAATTAGATAGGCCTTAAGTCAAAATATAAGGGTGTTATAACTGTTATTCCATCTGTTTGCCGTTTGCGTTTCTTTATTTCAATTAAGCCTATTCCTATATTTTAAGGATTTTTTTAAATTACCTCTCTTTGGTCCCTAGGTAATAGTTTTGAATTTTCGTACTTATAAATAAAATCTTGTGGCTCTAAAATGATGAATTTTTTATAAATTTGGAATCTTGCAGTTGCAGCCACTTTGTCCTTGTGCAGTAGCAGCTGGATTCTTCAGTTTTAATCATAATTCATAATTAAGTAGGGATAATTGATCTTGCAGGAATCTCCAAAAATGAAACCTTTAGTTGAATATATGTCCCAACAAAATTTTTCTTTCAATTATAACAAAAATTATGCATCTGAAAAGTGTAAAAAATCTAAAAAATATATATAAATTTAAGTGTAATACAAATAAAAGTGAAAAACTATGAATTTTCTCCTTTATTCAATTGCATATTGAAAATGGAGTAATTTTCAGCTTTTTTAAACTATACTTTTTCAATTAAAATTTTTTAGCTTTATTGATAATTTACTTATTATTTTTTTCATATTTGAACAATATTTTTTTTTAACTGGTAAATCAAAAATCATACAGATGGATATTTTTAATTTGTAAACAAAATTTTTGATGTATCAATCATTCATCAAGTAAAATATGCATTAAGTGATGAAATTTGGATTGACATGAGAAAAATGCAAAAAAAATAGGATACTACCTAATCAAAAATTAGAATTTTATAAGAAATGATTACTAAATGGCAAAAATATGAAGAAGAATAAGAATTAAAGCTCCAAAAAATTATTCCAAAAACAGTCTCAAGGTTCTGACAAATCCTGTAGTTTGAGGGTTGGTGGATGGAGACATGGAGTCTATCAAACTAAGTCTGGTCTTCAATGAACCATGCTTAAAGGAACATGTATATATATATATATATATATTTATATACAATCTCCATGGGGTACTAATTACTAATGACCTATAAATTTTCATCAGGAAAAAATTACTTGCACCTTGTCCAACATTTTAATTTGTTTTTAGTAAAGATTCCTGATATTGATATACACTTTCATAATTTCATTGTTGTTTGCAGATATTTTTATGATATTTCTTGATATTTTAAAGTAATGACTTCCTTGATATGTGTGGTTTTAATACTGTGCACTGCTTCAATTACTGTGGCACAGTCTGACTACCTGCCTGTTGTGCTATGGCACGGAATGGGTAAGTTGCCCTCAATTGTTGATTCATAAAACAGGTAGTTAGCTTAACAGAATTATATATTCATTAAAATTGATTATCTCCAGTCAAGAATTTATTTCAAACAAGTTCATAGTATGAATATAAACACTCAAATAAAATCATGCTAAGGCTAAAATTTTTAGTTTATGCTTACATTTATTTTTTGATATTATTTAAAAATTTTCTAATGTCTGTCAATGAAAACATGATAGATTGCTTCTTGATCAATACTTTTGTCAATAACTTTTTAATTACAGTATAATGTATAGGTGACTCATGCTGCAATCCCTCAACTATGGGCCGTATCAAAAACCTTATTCAAGAACAGCACAATGGAACCTATGTTGTTAGCATCATGATAGGCAACAGCATCATTGCAGTAAGTTCAATTTTAATTACTCCCTGGGACTTCCCTGTCACATGGGCTATTAGGCATCTGGCTAAAGTGATTCATTTGTATTTTGTATTCTGATATCAAAATTAAATCTAATTAATTCATAATTAATTATCCATGCTGTGGCTAAAATGAAGATGCTTTACATGTAGCATCTTATTCTTAACCTTTATTTCATGTATCTTGAACTCAACATATGTTTAACATAACTTGTTTCAATGTTTTACCTATCTTGTAGTCAATATTTATTTTTATTTATCTTGTATTCAATGTATGTTTATATGTATCTTGTACTCTAATGTATGTTTTACATATCTTGTACTCAACTTTTGTTTTAAATATCCTTTTTTCACCTTTATTCAATGTATTTTTTCCTCAATATTGTTTGAAAGTTACCTCCTACTCAATGTTGCTATTATTTCTATGTGTCTTGCAGTCAATGCCAATCGCAACATAATTTATTCTCAATGTTACCTCTTTAATTTGCCAGTCATAGAACTTTTTGGCTTCTCATCTAATAACTAATGGTCTAACTGTTTTGGGTTGACATGATTCAGTGCTTCACACTATCACCAGCAACAGCTTCATCAACAGCTTCTTCTGTACTTTTGCTGCTAGACTAATAGGCACTCTTTTACAAGCTGCAAGTACTTCTCTACCCAACAAGTATTTAATCAATGGTGAGAGCTGGGTTTCCAATTATGCTTTATTTAATTCCAGGGCATTGCATTCCAGATTTTCTGTTGTGGGAGGGCACATTCTATAGTTTATTGGGCAGTGCTCCCATTCTCTAACCCCTGCAGAAAGAAAGAAAAAATATATATGAGATTCCATAAGTTATCATTTTTGGGATTGCAAAATTGTTTTTCCATCTTATATCATTATTTATAATCAGCAAAAATTTACTTGTAATTGCAAGAAGAGCTACTGGCAGTATACTAGCTATGAATATGCATTGGACACAAAAATTTTGAGTTCACAGAGCAATTTCGTCTGACTAAAATATCTAACTTAATACTAGCAATCTTGCAACCCCAAAAATGACAGCTAACAAATGCACTTATCATATTTGATAGGACAGCTTGCTGCTAAGATCTTTATTGGATTATGACAACAAAATGGATGTCATTTTAACATATATCAATTATAGTACCTACTTCATTGAATTATTCACAAGGTAGGTACTAATATTAAAAAAACTAAAGATGGGGAAATTTTTTGTGAGCAGGATGAAGAATCGTCCTTCCTTGGTAATGCTAATGATCAAGTAGCTTTCGTTTGTGAGAAGTTGCAAGCAGACCCAGAGCTCTCTGGTGGATACCATGCCATAGGCTTCTCTCAGGGAGGGCAGTTCCTGTGAGTACCTAAATCTTGTGTGCATATGAGTTGGGCTACAATCTGCATGCATTTAAATCCAGGGCAGCACAGAATTTTCTCTGAATGATAAAATGTATTGTATTTTCATTGATTTATGATTTTAGTCTAAAAAATTTAATTTCATTATGCTGCCATAACTCTGGTATTTCATTGCTGTTGTTTGTATATTTGAGAAATTGTGCTGTTGTTGTCATTTCCAAGAGATATGTGTGCCATAGTGATCTTTTAAATTTAGCTTTAGGTAGGTAGTGATAGGCTCAAACATCTAAAAAGTTGCATTAGTTTATGCTGCTTATCTTCTCAGTTCCTGAAAATAGGAACAGCATCCTCAAGGAAAATACTTAGGAGTTCATTGAGCATGCATTCAAGAATGTTTCATGCTGGATAGAATTACCTAGATCTTATTTTCCATTATCTCGGACAACAGTTCGTTGCATTTTTTTGTCCCACTAATTTGATTTATTGACTTTATTATTCCTATTGAAAGCCTCACTATTTATCAGCCGTGCTGTGGCTCAACGTTGCCCCAGTCCTCCTATGGTCAATTTTGCAACATTGGGCTCTCAACATCAAGGTGTTTTTGGCTTCCCAACTTGTGACAACTTCACTGAACCTTTTTGTGAAGACCTACGATTAGTGCTCTCTCAGGGCGCTTACCTCCCGTAATTAACCCACTCAGTTTTTATACTATAAATCATGGGATTTATGTACCAGGAACCTGTGCAAAGCAAATGTTGACACCCTTTCTGATTTTTCATGTTGTAATGAAAATGTGGCTTGTGCTGGAACATGTCCTTGTTGTTACCAAATTTCAATTAATTATGGGTGTGTTCATGAATACAAGAAGTCCCCAGGTAACAAACATACTATATGCTGTTGAACATATTGGTAATATTAAATAATACAGTAAAACTATTTTTTTACTGCAAAACTATCTGTATGGACAGACTTTAGAGTTATGGACAGCTTTGTTGGTGCATGCCAAAGTTCACAACACAAAGTTTGCATAAACCTCAATGTTACATAGGTATTTGATGATTTTGTCACATTGCTTTACAAAATATAGGGTTTTGTTGTTTCCATGCCTTTCTACCATAAGTGATTATGATTGAAGTACCTATATTAGAAAGACATGCTTTGCATGTAGGCATTCACATCAATGTTTTCATTCACTTACAGTGTTTTATGTTTGTGTGTGGCCTCATTTGTGAACTGCAGTTGAGCGGGGGCTGATGATGCACACTCATACATGTTGGGGCTGTCCAGTCATGAAGAGCCTAGAGACTGTGAGATGGCCAGCACCCAGGTCTGTTGGGTGTGATGCCCTGCCCTGCTAAGGTCAACAAGCTTTGTGCGTAACTCAAGATACTCTGGTTATGTACATGTGTTTGGTCATCCATCTTTGTGACCATAAGTAACCAAAAATTTCATCTCTGAAAAAAATTCACTCTTTAGCATCAACATTATAATGATCTTGTGTACTTTACCAATACAATTAGTATTCTAAAGCATTATGTGGGAATTGAACTTTGCTGTCGGAATTGTGGAGAGGATTATTTTTTATTGATGTTTTTAAATGATACATTGTAGCAGGAATCAGGATACAAACTGGCTGTTATTAATTACAACTATGATTTGTGTTATTTTATACTGTTGTGTGAAAGCTCACTTAATAACTGAATATTCGCAGCCTTATTTTGATCTGAATATATGTTACGCAGAGTGATGCTTTTGTTTGCTGCATCTCAAAAGTGTGGTACCTATCCTGCTTCAATTGTGCTTTCTTGCATTAATAATATAACCATATATATTTGCTCCAGTTAACTTACAGTAAGCAAAATGAATTCTGAATGAGTTGAACTATTATAAAATATACATACTTTTAAAAAATCCTGCCTTGATTCGAATATTAGTATAACTTTCCATTTCATTCACCAGAGGGCTCCAGAATCACGTGATCCAGGCCCAGTATTGGCACGACCCCTTGGACGAGGCAGGTTACCGCCAGGGCAACATCTTCTTACCAGACATCAACCAGGAAAATGTAAGCTGTCTATAATCATATCGAACGGCCACTATATTCTTAGCCCATTTTTCTATAGGCTATATTTGTTGAGCCTTGCAGCCTGTGCGTGACCACTAATCTAAAGCCCAAAAATATTAGGTATGTCAATGTTTTTGTTTATAATCGTAATTCTTGATGCCATGTTTTCCAGACGATAAACGAGAGTTACAAGCAGAACCTGTTGGCGCTGGAGAACCTGATTCTGGTGCTGTTCCTGCAGGATATAACCGTCATTCCCCGAGAAAGTTCGTGGTTTGGTTTTTACAAACCTGGTCAGGACATTGAACTACAAACGCTTCAGGAGTCCGTTCTCTACACCGAGGTTTGCCCTTGGGACTTTCTGAGTTTTTTCTTTTGGGTCCAGGATTATTCCTGATCAATTCATAAGATGTGTAATCTAAGTCCATTAGATGTCATCACTTCTATTAATGTTTCTATCAATATTCGGAAATTTAATGTAAATATTAGGATTGATTCTAGTGATTTAAAAACTATAACAACTGATACGTAGAAGTATTCTGAAAACAGGTTCGCTATTCATATTCATAATAATACTGTGGATACTTCATAATTGAAGAAAAACCCCACCAACGGTTGCGCGCACGCACATGAGGGCATTGGAGAACGTGTAACGTCCTAAGAAAAAAAAAATAAGTAAATTAGAGAAACAGGCGATAGAAAGGTTTTAGTTATGGTACGCCCTCAGCCAGCCTTGCATAGCTGACTGGAAGGCAGGTAGCGATGTTGCTGCCACGCCGTCTGCACTAAGGGAATTCCGTATTCTGATGGCTGACGGAAAGAAGGAGTGTAGGTGGACGTCGGTTCTGCTGCGTGGAACCTGCAGCTTCTGTTGGTGCCCCCTTGTTGCGCGTGTGACTGGTTGACACAATCCTGAAGGAGGTTGGACATCGACTAGGCGATGCAGCATTTTGTACAGCATGCATGCTTTGTCTGCCGTTCTCCTCAGACGGAGCTCTTCCAGCTTAAGTCTGGCTACCATCTTAGTGGCACTGGATGTGGGGCTAAAGTCTCCCAGGATTCTGCGGGCCGCTCTGCGTTGTACCATCTCAAGGGAGGTTCTCAGTGCTACTGATGCGGATCCCAGGCCGGTGATGTATATTCTAGCAGCGGTCGTACGAGGCTTTTATAGCAGTGAACATGGACTTGTGTTGGGCATCCCTTAAGACTTCGACAGGCGAGCGCGCAGGACCGGTTGGCTCTGACTGCAGTTGCCTCGATGTGTTTCCCCCAGTGCAGAGTTTCTGATATTTCAATGCCGAGGTACTTGGCGCTGGGGACTTGTTCCAGCGCCTGTCCATGGAGCGAGTAGGTAGTGGGCACTCTATTCCTCTTCCTGGTGACTGACAGCAGGTGGCACTTGTCAACGTTGAAGGCCATCTGCCACTTTTGTTCCCACATTTCCAACTTATGTAGGTCTTCTTGTAGTCGTTGCGCGTCAAGTCGTGATCGTATGCGAGAATAAATGAGCGTGTCATCAGCAAAAAATCTGACTCTGGCGTTGATTCCTACTCCGGCGTCATTGATGTATGTAAGAAACAAGGTCGGTCCGAGCACCGAGCCTTGTGGGACGCCGGAGAGTACGCGACCCCCACACTGGACTTTTTCCCCTCCGCGACCACTTGCTGCGTTCGTCCAGACAGGAAACCGGTGATCCACTGCTTGGCCCTTCCTCGGATGCCATAAAATTCCAGCTTCGACAGCAGTCGCTGGTGGGGTACTTTGTCGAACGCTTTGGAAAAGTCAAGTAATATAGTGTCCGTCTGGCCAGCGCTGTTAATCTCGGCAGCAAGATCTTCAACTGTCAGGATTAGCTGGGTGATGCATGACCGATTGATGGACATAATCGAAATTACACGAACAACAATAATGTCTACGTTTTGACGGTTGACAAAGCAAAACGTCCATTGGCTTGGAATTTTGCAGACGTTCATAAAACACAATTCCCTGAGGCAACAAGATGTGTGTATGGATTGTATGCATGTGTGTTTTTCAGCAACTAGACTCTTCAGCTTATCGTGATTTTCTAGACTTACTTTCAAGTTTTCCAATAACATATATTGGGTCATATAAATTGATATCCTCATCAGTTACTAATTTACTATGTGCCAATATCAACACCAAGGATGTTCCGTTGTAATATTAGAACTCATATGATTGTATAAAAGTATTGTTAGTAGATTGCTTACAACGCAAATTAACTATGCATTTATATGCAAAGAATATACTGCAAATATTCACCACGTCTTTACTGAAGTTCCCAAGACCATGCCGAAAGCAATACCCACCAACGATACCCAGAAATGAACTGAGTTGCCCGGACCATGACTAACTCGAACTCTAACATGCCGGACCATGACTAACTCTGTGCCGCTACCACTGCACTACAGTGGTAGCGTGCACCCTGTGCGTTCCACTGGTGTTGATAAAGCTCTTATTGTGTATTAGTGAATGCCTACTCCCATATTCTACTTAACATTTCAGTGCACCGAATCACTATAGTCTCATCCATGCAGGATCGCCTGGGCCTGAAGGCGCTGGATGAGGCCGGCAAGCTGCACTTCCTAACAAGCGACGGCGGCCACATGCATTACACTGACGAGTGGTTCATCGAAAACATTCTTCCTTACCTCACCTAGTTTTTCCTATGAAAATACATTGCCTAACAAATTAGACTTTACTTTAATTACCGGCTTAATTCTATCGTTTTATATGGCTATTTAAGACATTCATGATTGTCTAGATTAATTATTTGCCACTTATTTGACTTCCTTCTATAGTTAAGACATTTTTTTTATTTGGTAGTATTCATTGTTGAGCACTCTTCTGACTCGAGTGCTGTTCAGTTGCTTTCAAGAAGGTGGAGTAGCAAATAGCAATGTTTCATCACTTCATCCAAGTAGATATTTTAATTATCTGTTCTCAACATGTCTTGAAAAAAACCATAGCAGGAGTAAAAAAATGGTTCATTTAATAAATTTGGTTCACTGCTCGATTACGAATATGGATATAAGAATCGTCCCAATAACTTCGAATTAAACGTCATGGATCAGTCTCGTTCTACGAGCAACTGCCGCGGAGGAGACCCCCACCTGCTGTAGAGAGGAATAAGGTCGGTGCGACTGCATAACCTGTTAAGAGATAAATTGCCTGATACAGGGGAATTGTGGTTAACCGTGAAATAAGCGCTAGGTTCCCTACACGTGAGGGATGTCCAAACTCATCTGCACAACGATGAATGAAAGTCTATTGCAAAAATCATCCCCTACGAGCTGTACATGATGTTTTACGATTCTAGAGGCTGAAATGGCACAAAAACAATGCGCTCGCATTTGGTTAATGATCGTCTCCAGAGGAATACTTGACTGATCAAATTTTATCGGTGCTTATGAAAAGCATTGAAACACTGTACCAAGGCCGTCATGCCACCCACCTAAACGCTGATGTCCGGAGCACGTATTTGGGCTGAGCCCCAGTCCAGCGGTAGAGGTCTCGATAGCTTGGAGGGTTCAACAACTGCCCATAGACACTCGTCCGAAGTGGGGAAAGCGTTACAGAGGGTTGACAGTCCCACACACATGAACGGATCGAGAAGGACGCCGACGGGTGCAGGTGTGGAACTAAAAAATCTTCATGAATGAAGACGCGCGTTAAAGGTAGAGGCACTGAGCAGCTGCGTTCTAGAATAATAAGTTTTTTCATGTGAAAAATGTTTGGAGATTGAACACAGCAGGAAATTAGTGACGTTAACGAAATTCCTACTGAGAAAAATTTTTAATTGTGAATAGGACGGTGTGTATTCGATTGCAAAATTAAGTCACAGCCGTTTGGAATGACTCTGACTATATAAGCCAAATTTAGATTAAATTTTAGCCGTAGATTTTATTCTGCAAGACTTCCCCACAAAAAGAATGATATTGCTAAGGAACGAAAGTGCTATGGCAGCCAAATCGCGTGGGTTTAACGAACTTGCAAATCTCAAATTTCCACTGAAAGTGCTTAATCAACATGAGCGATCAATACATTAAAGTTTCCCAAACTTAAGTTGAATGTAAAATAGCCAAATCTGATAAATTATAGGGTGGGCTTCAGCCCCCTATGAAAGCCCAAATGACGACGCTGGGTAAAACACTGCCGAGCACAAAAACAATCTGAAATCCGCGCGTTTTATGAACATCGACGTGCAAATTTTTACTTCATAATAACAGTTGAAATACAAATTTATTTAATTTATCCCAACTTACATGATTTGAAAGTAAATCGCTTGAATAACCCTCCAAATTTTAGACCGATATATGCAAAGTGAGTTATAAAATAAATGAGGAATCTGCTTTTAAAAATTACTTTTTGAAGACAACACTTCTAAAGAATCCATTGTCTCTGATGTTACACATGTACAATGAAGTTCTAATTCTATTTTCAAAACTTGAAAAAAGTATAAATTTTTTAATATATGAAAATTAATTATATCATCAAAATTATTTATTCTGTTAATTGATTCATGCATTGTCTCCAACTTTACGCAAGTGTGCAAATTTTCAGATCGATTGGACAGGTAGAAGTGTGTCAAATATCAATTATAATATTGGTAGCAGACAAAATTATTTTTAATTTTTTTTAATATCGTGAAAAAATGTTAATTTTCAAAATTATTTATTCTGTCAATTGATTCATGCATTGTCTCCCTCTATACGCAAGCGTGCAAAATTTCAGATCGATTGGGCAGGTAGAAGTGTGTTATATATCGATTACGGTATAAGATTTTTAGCAGACAGACAAACAAACAAACAAACAACAGGAAGTGAAGTTGAAGAGAAGTGTTGTAACAAACAGACTTCGTGAAGATATCCCATAGGAGACAACTCGGCCTGTGTGACAGTGACGGCGCAAAAGCGACCACTTGATGTTTGGTATAAACATTTAGTTATACGTAAGTAAACACATAGTTTGCTATTGCTAAACTTCTATTTCATTTAACCGAATAAAATCTTAGGTTTTCGTAACTATGGAATAAATAGAAGATATAAATTATATAACATATTGTACTGGGTGAAGACGACAGCGCCGACGAGTTCGTGTATATAACACATTATTTGCTATTGCATAATTTCTATTCCATTTAATTAAATAAAATGTTAGTTTTCCATATATATGGAATAAATAAATAAAGGATATAAGTCACATAATACATAGTACAGCGCGCTGACGACAGCGCCGACGAGTTCGTGTATATAACACATTGTTTGCTATTGCATAACTTCTCTTCCATTTTCTTAAATAAAATGTTAGGTTTTCATATAAATGGTATATAATATATAATAGTTATAATGTAGCATATGCCACGGTCATGGAAAAAGAGCTTTTGGGGGTTATGGCCGCCATAGGCCTCTGTGAGTGGGTTTAGTCTCCAGCGTCTTTTAAGAACTAACTTGAATACCTTCTGTTTTGAAATTAGTGGTTGTTGATGTTTGTAGAAGTTTAAGTAGAGTTCGAGTTGGTAACGTAACTACATACCGGTACTTCTGAAATGATTAATGTTGTTACGCTCGACACTTCTGCTTGTTACCGTCCCTGAATTCTGGAGCTATTCCAATGCTGCGTCATCCAGTGAATAACACCATCATGGTTGAACATTATCTTACGATCTTAGCAGCAGAGAATACAAGTGCAGACTTGTAGATACGAGTGAGACATTGTCCAGCGATGCACTTTTGCCATTGTGTGGGTCAATTTAGCCCGATAAAAAGGGCATTATCAGTGATACCTAAAGTGCTTCAGAATTAGTACGTTATGACCTATTCATTTATTAGAGGGTACAGCGTCTCCTGTAGACGAGATATTGCATGGCCGCAGCTTGATTGCAAGCCTTGGTGGTCGCTCTCCTTGCCATCTCACTGCCGTGCGGGCGCGTCGTACTGTGGGAGTGACTTCTCAATGTCTGTTAATAATCACGCATCCATTCCATGGCATTTACTATAATTCTTTTTTAGATTTATCAGCGTGCTGGACTTTCCCTCTCATGTTAATATTAATAAGAATACATTTGTTATGTCAGAAAACGTTTGAATCATTATTAGTATAATGAGTCAACCTGTTCTTTGATGAGAACAGGGTTTGATGAAATAAACCTCTATTAATTTGCCCGTACATTGTTACCTGTAATTGTTTAGAGGCAAAATAGAGCTCATGTGCTGAGGAAATTCCAGAGCAACCGATCCAGCGGATCTATCTAATGAGTTGATAACAACAAGCTGGCACCGCGAGTTAATCTTGCACGTAAGATCAACTTTCAGTCTTACGTCATGTTCAGCAGGCCACAACTGTTATTTTCGAGAGAAAGGTTATAATTGATTTTGATGTAGGCCTTCAAGATCAGCAATATTCTCACCTCTAGTTGAACGGTTTAACATAAGTAAAACCACTCGCCTGAATTAAATGATCATGCCATTATTCATCAAGACATGCTTATGAAACCCCACCAAACATCAAACTTCTGCTCCTCTAAACATTTTTCACGATCTGATAAACAGTTATGCCCTAACACATGCCAATATTGTTGTACCTGATGACATCTTGCGCTTATAGCATGAGCGGCGCACACCACGCGCGGAAATCTCGCATCGCTGCTAATATACCGCGGTCTACACCGACTTACTCGGCAAACAAAGAATCTTGCCGGTGAACAAATGTTGACACGAGGATCGTTCACACAAACAAGTGTGTACAGACAACCAATGGTTTAACCGTGGGCTCGTTTACGCTAACAAATCCATAGTGAGAACCGTACACAATGACAAAACGAGTGTCTCGTGTTGCCGATCTGCACAGGCCAGTCGCCGTGCAAAAATTCAATTGTTTTGCTTAGGCATGTCTTACTTGATACAATGATACATTAGCAGCCAAAAGCGTCTACTGAATATCCATACTTAAACTTGGGCACGTCTATCTTATTACATTGGCAGACAAGAGTGCTCGCTGAATATCGATTCTATAAGTTAGGCACTTCCATCTTAAATTACTGACAGCCATGAGCGCTCGCTGAACACTGAAATGCCAAATAACGGCGGTCTGACTGGATGAGAATGAAAGAACTCTTCAAGACTTTTATAATATAAAGGGTTTCTTGAACGATTGTATTTACGTTAAAAATGTTGAGCAAGATTATCAGGCGAGTAAATTACCAGGACAATAACGGAAAACATTTAAATTTTTGTTGAATAATTATATCTGACGCTATTCAAATTACATAATTTTAATGCAAATTTATTTTATTGTCCGGGTATTAAATACCTTGATTGTCATGACATGTAGAAGGTGTTTATTGAACACATATTAAAATCATAAACCATTCATATGGCTGAATCACGACCATTTGTTCTCGATTTTCGTAGGACCAAGAATTCGAAACAGGTTAAAAATTCATGACGCGTGGCCGGTTTTGACTGGTAATTGTCGCAGTCTAGCCGATCATTGCAAACAACCTCGAGTCGAGCCCAATGGCGACCTTGCGATGAGCGATGTGGCCCTTGCGTGCCAAGCTAACTAGGCAAGTCACGAACCTGCTCGAGAAAAGTGTTGTTTCTATTCACTACTCACTCTCCTCTACGCTACATTATGGATGACATGATGCAAGCTTTTCCCTCCATCATTCATGTTCCCTC